TGCTGAAGCTGAGGAGGACCTGAAGTATTTGCTGCAGAAGGTCAAGGACTACAGTCCTCAATACAGATTGAAGCTCACATAGAAAAGACACAGATTTTCACCACTCAGCCAATTTATAGCATAATTTGAGCTTGCTTGTTTCCACAATCAATGCTCTGGGCATCAGCATTCAAGAAATCAAAAGACAGATTGCCAGGGATCTCTCCAGAGTAGTGAAGAGCAACAATGTCAGTATAGAGTCTAAGATGCGCCTAATCCAGGCCACCGGGTCTTCAAAAATTTTTAATATGCATCAGAGAGCTGGACACTGAGTAAAGATGACAGAAGAACTGAAGTCTTTGAGGTGTGCTGGACAAGAGTAATGACTACCAACAGAACAAACAGCTCTGTCCGGGAGAAGGTGAAACCAAGTTGCTCCTTGGAGGCATGGATTTTGACATTCCACCTCATATACTGTGGGCATGCTGTCAAGAGAGACAGTCATCATACTTGGAAGGGTGAAGGGACTGCACAGGAGAAAACCCTGGATGAGATGGATTGATACAGTAACTGAGATAATGATAGTTGGTGTGTCGGAGACTTTGAAAGTGGCTCAGGATATGGCAGGCTTCAGAGCTATTATTGATAGGATCTCTCTAAGTCATTGTTGACTCAATGGCACATAACCACAACAGCCATGATCCAGTGGGACTCTGGCATTGCAGTAGTTAAGTACTTTTATGTTGAATAAAAGAAGGTTAAGTCAAAGGTGGTTTGAACCTATCAGCTGCTCCATTGTAGGAAGTTGTGGTAGTATACGTCTGTAAAAACCACAACCTGGGAAACCCTATGGGGCTCCTTTACTATGTTCTGATGAGTCACTATAAGCCATCAAGAGAAGATGGAGGGGATATACAGAGTCACTGTACCAAAAACAAAAAAAAGGAACTATCATAAGAACAGGAATCAATGAAAGTGAAAGAGGAAGTGGAAGTTGCAGTGAAGACATTGGCAAAAAATAAGGCCCCAGGAATCAATGTAATACCAATTGATTCATTTCAATGAATAGATGCAGCCCAGGACATGCTCACCAGTCTATTCCAGGGAATTTGAAGGACAGCTGTCTGGCCAATGGATTGGAAGAGTTCCATATTTATTTCCATCCCCAAGAAAGATGATCTAATAGAATATGGCAACTATCAGACAGTATCATTAATATCATATACATGCAAGCAAAATACTGCTGAAGATCATTAAAAAAATTTCTAGAGCAGTACACAGATAGGAAACTGCCAGAAGTTCAAACAGGATTTAGAAGAGACCTTGACACCAAGAATATCATTGCTGATGTCAGATGGATCCTGACTGACAGTAAAGAATACCAGAAAAATGTCTATTTGTGCTTTATTGACTATGCAAAGGCATTTGACTGTGTGGTTCATAACAAGTTGTGGCTGACATTGAGAAGAATGGGAGTCTCAGAGCACTTAACTGTGCTCATGTGAAACCTATACTTGAACCAGGAGTCTGTTATGTGAACGGATCAAGGCAGCACTGCATGGCTTGGAATTGGCAAGGGAGTGCACCAGGGTTGTATTCTCTCTCCATACCTATTCAATCTGTATGCTGAGCAAATTTTCCAAGAATCTGGACTCTCTGAGGAGGAGTGTGGCATCAGGATTTGGAGGGAGACTCATCAATAACCTGTGTTATGCAGATGACACAACCATGCTTTTTGAAAGTGATGAGAACTTGAAGCACTAGTTGCAGAAGATCAAGGAATGCAGCCTTCAGTATGGTTTGCATCTCAATGTCAAGAAAACGAAGATTTTACCACCGGATTGATAGGCTACATCATGATGGTTGAAGAAGAGATTGACACTCTCAACAACTTTATCTTACTTGGATCCACATTTAACACCCTTGGTACCTACAGTCAGGAAAAAAGGAAACATATTGCACTGGAAGGTCTGCTTTAGGGCCTCTCTAAATTATTGAGGAGTAGCATCACCTTGAGAACTAAGGTGAGTCTGATTCAGGCCATGGTTTTTCCGATCACTTGCTATGTATCTGAGAGCTGGTTAATGAATAATAAAGACAGAAGAATTGGTGCCTTTTAGTTGTGGGGCTGGAGAAGAGCACAGAACATCCCATGGATGGCCAAAAGAGCAAACAAATATATCTTGGACAGGGTGCAGTGAAGTGCTCTTTGGATGCAAGAATGATGTGACATGCCTCATATACTTTGGGCCTGTTGCTAGGAGAGGCTATTCCTTGGAGAATGACATGATGTTTGGAAGGATAGAGGGTCAGTGAAGGAGAGGAAGACCCTTGACCAGGTGAATTGACACAGTGACTGCCACAATGGGCTCTAGCGTTTTAGGCAGTGTGAAAAATTTGATAGGGTTGCTTTGAGTTGTATGACACCTAACAACAACTTTGGGGTCACTATAATTTAGTGACAATAACAACTGTGTTCCAAACAGGATATAGCAACTGGACTCCCAGCATGAGCTAGGCAGTGTGAATGAAGCATTAAACTTTTTTTTTATTTTCATGAACGTTTACAGAAGAGTAGAATTTTCATTCATTCATTGTTGCACATTTTCTTCCCTCCTCCTTTCTCCTTCCCCCAGTTTATTTTTTTTAATTTATGATTTTTTCTTTTTTTTGTTGTACATTTTCTTCCTTCCCCTTTCTCCCAGCCCAACAGTAATGCACCCCTTGTTCCATTTTGTTTTCATACATGTAATGCCTAATCATATATTCCTTTAGGACAGTTCTTGCCCTCATCTGTTCTACTGCAGTATTTGTTATTTATCCTCTCTTTTCCCATTCTCTGCTCACTCCATCTTTATCTGTTCTAGTTTAAAACAGTGGAGTTATACAGTATTTGTCCTATTATGGCTGAGATATTTCACTTAGCATAATATCCCCAGGCTTTCCTATATTGTGTAATGCTTTGAGTTTGTTGTTTTTCAATGCTGCAAAATATTCCATTATGTGAATGGACCATAGTTTTTTCTATTTGTTTGTTGTAGCATTAAGCTTTTGTGTATGTATGTTATTGCACCTATTTTTTAAAGAAATCGGTAAAACATAAGTTTCTGATTTTAGCAGATGATAAGGCTTATACAGGAAAATTGAGGAAATAAAGACATTGGAAGTGAGGACAACAGAAAGAGGCCCCATAAAGGTCAGAGTTTGACCTATAAAAATCTGGGGAAAGAGCTTCAGAGCAAGAGAAGAACAAATGCAAAGGGTCTGAAGTGACTGTTTACAATATTTGGGGAACACTGATGCACAATCCTCAAGCCAATTATAGTGCTCCTAAGGGGCAAATAAGGGTCTTTCTTTCCATACTGACCATTTACACAAAAATAAGTCATTCCCCTGAGGTTTGTTGTTGACCCTAATATCTGACCACAGGGAATAATGCCTGATTCTGGTGATTCATAGCACCAAGCTGACTTGGTCTAAAACACTCTACTATACAGACATACCTGCGATTGGGACAGAGAATTGTCTCTGGCTGTTGCTGGGATGGGTACTGGATAGTCTTTCTTTTTGGGGACACACTGGATTAATTGTGGTTTCACCACTTAGCAGCTGTGTGTACCTAGTAAATTTGTGCTTCCTTTGAGCATTAGTATGTAAACAAGTACAAACATAGTAACTAACCCAAAACAACATGCAAGAAATAAGCTATGAGTTGATTCCAACTAGCGGCAACTTCATGTGTCAGAGTCGAACTGTGTCTTCAGAGGTTGATTTTTCAGAAGTAAATCACCAAGTCTTTCTTCTGTGTAGCACCTCTGTTGGTGTGTACCCTCAACTAGGAACGGACCCTTCAGTAGGTTTACAGAAGCCGTAAATCTCACGGGAGGAGATTGCCCAACTCCTGCAGTGGATTCGAACCTTGAGATTTGGTATTGCAGCAGTTTCTTACCACAAGGCCACCAGAGTTCCATGTGGCAATTCTGTTGTTTTTGTGCCATCAAGTAGCCTACAATTCATAGTGACCCTATGTACAGCAGCTCTGAACCCTGCCCTGTCCTGAGCCAGTCTAATTCCGACACACCACATCCATTGCCCTAGTTACTGTATCAGTCCATCTCATCCGGGGTCTTCCTCTTCTGTGCTGTCCTTCCAACCTTCTGAGCATGGTATCCTTCTCCAAGGACCTCTGGGACACATGCCCAAAGTATTGTATGTAAGAAGGGCTATGATTTTTTTTCTGTTATCCTTACTCATTCTCCAGCTCTCTGATGTCATAGCAAGTAATTGCAAAGACCATGACCTGGATCAGGAGCACCTTAGTCTCTAGACCGATATAGCTGTTTTCCAGTACGTTGGAAAGGTTTCCAACAGCAGATTTTCCAAATGCAAATTCTTCTTTGACTTCCTCACTGCTGGTGCCAAGAGTATTATTGATTGTGGAGCTGAGCAAGCTGTCATTGTTTAACAACCTCGATTTCTTCTCCATGTATCTTGGTGCTGCCAATTGGCTCAATGGCATCTCTAGGTTGATTCAAATCTCCAACCTTTTGGTTAGCAACTGAGTGTGTTTGTTATTACCCAAGGGCTTAATCATCCAAGAACACGGTGAAGCAGAACCTGGGACTTCTTTTATCCACTTCTCTTTTGATCAGGTTCACTCTGCCGGAAAATGACGCTGACGGATGGTAATTAAATAGAAGAACCAGTGTGGGCCACTGGCCCAGGTACCCAAAAAAGAGTCGGAGACGCGATGCGCGGCTGGCTGGACTCATGAAACACAGGTGACACAAACTTTAATTGGAAAACCACTTGCCACAGTCTTAACAGAGACCCCGCCCCTTCCGCCAGTTCAGCAGCCTATGGACCCGCCTTTTCCTCTCGTGGCTCCGCCCCTTCCGGTAGACCCGCCCCTTTCCCTGCTCGCATGTGGTTCTGGGACGCGCGCCGGCTCCCTGCATCCTTGCTGGTCCCTACAGGTCTGAGATTCCTGTCGCTGTCTGCGGTTCCTGTCCCGCCTGGCAATGGGGGTCTCTAAGAGGAAGGTCCAGCATGGCCAGGAGACCTCGGCTTTCCCCGCGAAAGCAGCCAAAAGGGCCCGCACTGACGAGCTCACCGGGGTGCAGTTCAAGACGCAGCTGAAGGACTCACAAGGCGTCGGGGCCGGTGAGTGCATGTGCTTTGGAGGAGACTGGCCTCGATCTGGGTGGCGATTGTGTGCTAGACAAATCACCTTTAAACAGTTTGTGTGTCATCGAAGTTCAGAGTCCCAAGTTGGCCTGGACAGCCCTAGAATTTCGCCCCGTGCATCTGTGCCGCGAAATGTGGACAAGAGCAAGACAATTGCACTTTGTGATGGTTTCATGCAGCTTCACGTTTCTCCTGCTTAGGCAGCTTTCCTCCACAGGTATAAAATCGCATTAGTGCATTTGTCAGGAAAGTAGATGAAGGGTCACACAGACTGTCAGCATTGGTCTTCCAGCAGCTTCACTCTTTTGACAAGATCTGACAAGCTTATCAGTTGACCAAGATTCAACCAGTGACTGGTGTGGAACAGATTGTGTAATTTAACTTGATTTTTTTTAAAAAAAAATATATATATACACAGGATAATCCTACAAAGAATTATTATTCATAATTCTTTGCAAAGTATGCTATAAGATGAAGAAAGAGACGCAAGTGAACATGAATGTGGATACATTGTTACAGTGATAAAGTAAAGCAGTGACACAGACCAGAATTTTCTCTATTTCACATTTTCCTATCACATGTTTTATATTTAAACTATTAATATCTGGAGTTGCTAGTCAGGGCTAGGAAGATTGCTCAGTATTTATTAAATCCGTTGCTTCTGAATTGTTGACTCCAATTCATAGTGACACTCTTCTCCCCAATACGTGTCAGTGCAGTGCTGTGCCCCTTGAGATTTTCAGTGGCTGATTTTTTTTGGAAGTAGGTCATCAGGCCTTCTTGCCAAGGAATCTGGGTAGATTCAGACTGCTAGCCTTTAAGTAACGAGCCAGATGCTTAGCTCTTTGGGTCATTTGAAACTCATTTTTTGTTTTTATTGTTTAATACCTTTGAGTTTATTTTCATTCAGGGACTTCATGTGATAAAGTGGAAGTGCCTCATATTGTTTTCTTGGCTGTAATCTTTACAGAAGTTGATCATTGGGTTTTGGTGGTTTCTTAGTCCCTCCCCCCAGTAGAACCACTGGGTAGGTTTGAATTCCTAATGTTTTGTTGAGTGGTCAAGTGCATAAACATTGTGCACCCAGAGCTCTCTAAGAATATGTTATTGGTAGGCTCCTCTGAGTTGTCTCTGACTCATAGTGACTGGATTCTATTACAGAATGAACCCCTATCCTGTCCTGTACTATCCTCAAAATTTGTGCTTGTTCCAGTCATTGTGTCACTATCTCAAAGACAGTTTTCTTCCTTAACCCTTGACTTTTCTGAGCATGATATAGTTTTTCCACACATTGGCATCCCCCTCCAGGTAATGTTTTTGTTGTTGTTAGGTGCTGTCAAGTCAAGTATAATTCACAGTGACCCTATGAACAGAAGATCTGAACCCTGTCCTGTCCTATCCCATCCTCACACTTTTTGGCACACAAGAGCCCATTGCAACAGTCACCGTGTCAGTCCACCTGGTTGAGAGTCTTCTCCTTTCCCAGCCCACCACCCTTCCCATCTTCATGTCCCTCTCCAAGGAATAGCCCCTTCTAGCAACATGCCCAAAGCATGTGAGACTAAGCCTCATCATTCTTGCCTCCTAAGAGCACTCTGGCTGCACCCTCTCTGACATATATTTGTTTCTTATCTTGGCTGTCCATGGGATGCTCTTCCTCAACACTACAGCTTAAAGGCATAATTCTTTTCCTGTCATCCTTATATAATAAACCTTCCTAATTCTTGTTATGGGAGAAGGATGGGCAGTCTCCTCCCGTGTGATTAATTGCCTCTGAAAACCTGCTGAAGGGTCAGCTATGGGTCTGTTCTAATTCTATGATATACAACAGTAACAATAATCCTTGCTAGAAGAGATTATATGTAGAAGCAGTCCTGGTGGCACAAGTGATTAAGCACTCAGCTACTCAGTGAGCTTGGTATTTCAAACTCTCAGCTACTCAGTGAGTTTGGTAGTTCAAACTCACTGTTGTGCAGGAGAAAAGACCTGGTAATCACCCCCATAAAGATGCCAGAGTTGATTCTGACTTAGTGACCTTGTGGTGGTGGTCTGTACAACCAAATCAGAATCACTTTATAGATGATTCTCCATCATATTTTCAGAGGCTATAAATGGAATGGGAGTAGATTGCCCATCTTTCTCCCATGGAGCAGCTAGTGGTTTTGAACCATGTGTCTTTGGTATTGCAGTGCAGCTTCTTAACATGAGGTTACCAGTGCACCAATCCCCCTATTTTGTTGTTAGGTACTTTTGAATTGAGTACAACTCATAGCAGCCCTGTGAACAACAGATTTAAACCTTATCCTGTCCTATACCATCCTCACAGTCTATGCCATAGTCACTGTGTCAGTTCACCTAGTTGAGGGTCTTCCCCATTTCCAAGCATAATGTCCTTCTCCAAGGAGTAGGCTCTCCTAGCAACAAGCCCAGTGTGTATGAGATGAAGCTTCATCATCTTTGCCTCCAAGGAACTTTGTCTGCACTTTCCCCAAGACATACTTGTTTGTTCTGTTCTAAGCTTATAGGTCAAAGACATCAAGTCTTCTTCTGCTATCCTTACTTATTGTACTGTTCTCTGATGCATAGCAAGTGACTGAAAAGACCATGGCCTGAATCAGGTGCACCTTAGTCCTCAAACTGACATCATTGCTCCTTAGTAATTTAGGACTTAGTAATTTAGCGGTTTCTGACTGCAGACTTTCACATGCAGTCTGTCTCTTGATCTCCTGACTGCTGGTACCAAGTGTATATTGTTTGTAGATTCAAGTAAGATGAAGTCATTGACAGTCTCAATCAATTTCTAGTAAATGTTGGCGGGGGGGGAAAATGAATGAGCAGAGACAAGCAATTTTCACTGTGCAACACCCAAGCTTCAGGAGTTACATGTTAAAGACACTTAATAAATACAGTTCCTTATCTATGTGAAGAAAAGAATTTGTGCTCCAACTTGTCAAATTATTCCTTAAGAAAAGAATTAAGTAATTCTACTATCCCATAATAGCAGATTATACAACCCAATCGTCACCATCATCATTATCATCATCTCTTGCTCTCACTGTGTTCTTGGGTTTCTGGAGCATTAAGGTTAAGATTGAGGATGATTAACAAGTGGCCACTCGCCAGGGCGGTGGGTTCAGTAGCAATGGCTGTGATTGTTTCTAAAGAATTTCCTGTGGATTGGAGACTGTCTTTACTGACATTTGCAAATAACTTTTATTTCAGCCTTGGAATCTTTTGTTTCTGCTGCTAAGAAGCTACCACAAGAGGGGGTGTATGATGTCGTGGAAGGATATATCAAGATTTCTATGGAGTGTGCAGAAATTTTTCAGCTCCTAAGTGGAGAGAAGCGACCTGAAAGTGAAGTATGTTGTTTATCTGTCTTAGGATGAGAGGGTTAATGCTACTGCTGTATTAAGCTGGATTATGAGAAATGTGCTATGTTTGAGACATTACCAGCTTTCTACAGAAAATGATACTCTTTTGTACCTGTGCAGTAGAAATGCATTAATTTTACCTTCTTGATTTTTAGCAGCATTTAGTTTTTTTAAAATCTTAGTTGTTTTTCATATAATCATTCACAGAAATTTTGTTTTATGATATTAATTGGCATAGATTAATATGATTATTTATAATGTATACTACCTTTCTCTTCACTAACTTATCTATTCATATTCACTTCCCTTGCTCTTCCTTCCCATCCTTGTTGTCTCTCCAAGACTGATTTTACCTCTGTGCAAAACTTCCCTTCAACAAAACATAACAACTAATTACTGTCAGGTCAGACTAATTCATAGCAAAACCTGCAGCGGGTTTTCAGAGGCTATAATCTGCATAGGAGAAGGTTGCCCATCTTTCTCCCTTGAAGCAGCAGCTGGTGGATTTGAACAGCCTGCCTTCAGTTATTGCACTTCCCTTGTGAGCTCTGGTGGTCTAGTGGTAAGGAGAAAGCTGGACAGTCTCCTCCTGTGCTGTGAGTCATTTCCAGCTCAACAGAAAAGAGTTGGGGTGTTTTGTTTTATTTTATGCCATAATTGCCTTTTTGTGACTGACTTATTTCAGAAAACATAAAGTAAATAATAACAGGAGGTTCATAGATCCTAAGTGCAGTTGGTGTCAGTGTGGCATAACAAAAGGGAAACAGCTAAAAATTTTGTGTTACAGACTCAAGCATGCTAATTGCCAAGAGTTTAACAATTTGACATATTTATGATCAGCTTGAAATAGAGCTATTGCCCTAAATCAGAATATCCCTGAAGCAGTAAGGCTTGATTTTTAATAGTATTTCCTTTTTTAATCTTGTGCCTTTATAAGCAAGCAATTTAGCTAGATTACTATATGTATAGGAGTAAAAGAAATACAGTGACTAATAAGCATTTGCATTTTGCCTTTGCAGATACTATCAATTTTTCAAGTTTTTGAAGCCATATTATTACGGACAGCGAGTGACCTTTCACATTTCCATGTTGTGGGAACCAACATTGTGAAAAAGCTCATGAATAACCATATGAAGCTCATCTGTGAGTCCCTGTATGCCTCGGGCTACAAGTAAGTCCCTGTGTGCCTTTAGATTGCCGGTCAGGCCTTTGGGTTTGTCTGTCTTCAGTTCTGTGAGAGTGCCTTTCACCTTTGCCTTCACCGCTAACCGAGAACAGCTATTTTCCATGACTCTCAAGACCATGTGTCTGTCTTGCCCCCATCTTCTTTCTTTGTATTTGACTTTTCTCTAGATAGTTTGCTCCCTGGGTCTTTCTACCTCAGGGAGCTACTTTAATCATCTAACGAGTGCCCCAAATCTCTTTCTGACCCTTTGTCCTGCTAATGTTTCTCTGTAGCATTTTATCTGTCTATGGTATAAAGACAGTGCTAGTTCGGTGTAAAATTCTTAACTACTGCGTGGAAACACAGGTTCAGTTCTTGACCAGTCAGTGCACCTCATGCACAGTGACCACAGTGAAAATTTGCATGTTGCTATGGTGCTGAACAGATAGCAATGAAATGTTCACGTTAAGATAGAATAGGAAGAAAGGCCTGGCAGTTGACTTCGAAATTCAACCAGTGGACTCCCTATCGATTACAAGGAAACATTGTCTACTTTGAAACTGATCATGGAGGTGACATAGCATGAGGCATTGCTTTGTTCCGTTTGTGTATGAGGTTTGCTGTGAACTGGCAACATCACAGTTCAGTTTTTTACTCGCTATCTCCCTCTACTAGGTGCATAGAAAAAGAGACCTTGACTGTCTTATAAAACTCATTGCCATTGAGTTGGAACTCTCTCCTTGCTGCCCCTCTTTGGTTTCTAGGGTTATATGTCACAGGGGAAGAGATTACCCATCTTTCTCCTTAAAGCTGCTAGTGGATTAGAACTGCCTAAGAGGCATGGCTTTTGTGTTAGCAGCACCATTCTCCCTATAGACTACGCTGTGAGAACTCCTGTTATTTACTCAGTGTCTAGTACAGGACATGGTGACATGGTGTTAGCAGGTACTCCGGAAACCACGGATTCTGGGTGACTGCAGAATGGAAAAGCGAGAGAGCCACTCTCACAGATGCCCACATGCTGAGGCCTTTCTCTATCCTGCAAGCAGAGGATGAGATTTGAGTCTCAGTTACATGATAATGTACTCAGAGATAAACTTCCATCTTCTCCATGTCTTTGTTCTTGCGATTTCCTCATCTTTGGGGTTTGTTTTGTTAACTTTGTAAAAGGTGTTGGCTATGCTTTCTTGTTTTGTTTTTAGAAACATGTCTCCTCTTTTTCTGGGGATAGTAAATGGTGAACCAGTTGCAGAAAGGTTTTGTGGCAATTGGATTTGCACCGTTGTGGTTTCTGATATGCCTTACTTCCTCCCTGTTTCTGTGTAGATTGGCCCGATCCTGCCTGAACCTGATGGCAGCCGTGGTGGCCCAAGGGCCTGAAGCTGCCAGAGATGTCTGCAGCAACTTTGATTTGAATAAGAAGTCTTTGTACGCCCTGGTGACCAAACGGGATTCAAAGGTGAGGGACCCTAAGGGTCTGGTAATTTTCCATATGCTTTTACCTTTTGAGGGAAAAGTGCTTTATTTTGTACCTCCCTCTGACTTGGGTCCTCAAATTGATGTTTAGGGAGTAGGAGGAGTCTTTTTGGAGAAGGGTGTGCTTTGGAAGCCACTGGAGTCGTTGGAAAAGGAAGAAGGAAGGCCACTCCTGGCCAGCATGGGACAGAACCTGAATAGCAGGCTCTGATTCTGTGGGAGCACTCAGCCACTGTAGAACATTCGAAGACTCTGTGTCCTCTGATGAGTAATTCTATCCACCTTGGAGAAAACCCTTGAAAGTCAAAGCCAGTGACATCATTTGGATGATGTGATTGTGCTTTCCATTTAATGCTCTTGCATTGGGTAGGTTGTGTCAAGGAGATGTGGAAGTGTGAGTAGTTGATTTTAAAGAGAGCTGTTTAAAAACTAATTCCCTAGTGGCTCTTAAAGAGTTCTTGAAGAGTAAGAATGTGTTTGAGGACGTGTAAGTCTGAGGGCTGGCATCATGCCAACATGTGTGCTGGTTGCAGGTTGTCAGAGTGCCTCTCTCTGTACCGTGCTGGTTCTCCACTGCTGGCAGCTATGGCTTGTAACCTTGTATACCCATTTTTCCTGAGCATAAAGAGCAGATCAGTAGATGTCAGCCTCTGTCAATCAAGGTGGAAAACTTGATTGGAAAACTATTAGTATAATTGAGTTCAGCAACCCCATTGTTTCCTAAATATTTGTGAGAATTACGCACCTCAACATCAGTTAAAAAATATCCTTATAAATGGGTCAATAGGCAACATCATGAGGGGTAAAAGAAAGATTGAAGATACCAAGGATTTAATTTTACTTGTATCCACAGTCAGAACCCATAATAGACACAGTCATGTGCATTGGGCAAATCTGTCAGGGGCCTCTTTAAAGTACAGGATGTCAGTTTAAAGAGTAAGATGTTGCCAGCTGTTTTTGACCGCTTCATATGCTTGTGTAAGTTGGCCATTGAATAAGGAATACTGAAAAGGAATTAATGCCTTTAAATTTTGATGTTGGTGAAAAGTATTGAATATCCCATGGACTGCCAAAAGAACAAACAAATCTCTCTCGGAGAAAATGCAGTCAGGATGCTCTTTTAGAAGCAAGGATGGTGAACCTTCATGTCACATATTAGGGCATGTTGTCAGTCAGTCCCAGTCCTTAGAAAAAGACATCGTGCTGAAAAAGGTAAAGGATCAGAGAAAGAGGAAGAATGTCAGTAAGTGGGTCACACAGTGACTGCAGCAATGGGCTTGAGCATGGTGGAGATTGTGAAGAAGGCACAGGATAGAGCAGAGTTCTAATTTGTTGTTCACAGGGTCATTGTAATAGTCGGCTAAATGGTACCTTACAGCAACAGCAATAAATGGTTATTCAATAGAAGACTTGTCTTCCATAAAGGAGAGAGACTCACGTTTAATTCCTGGCCAGTGCAGCTCCCACTCATCTGTCAAGTATAGTCTTTGTGTTGCTGTAGTGCTGAATCAGTTTCACTGGTGCTCCCGGATTAAGATGAGGAAGAAAGGTATTTGAGATGGTGAAGATTGTGTGCCAGCTGGTTGCCTGTGATTCCCTGATTTGGCAATTGAGATGTGGTCATTCTGTTGATGAGATTTGAGGTAGTATAGTCCATTGATGTGACTTGCTATGTGAATACTGGCAGCTGAGGGAAAATACCATCAGGAGTGTAGCCTGCCTCAGAACCTGCTTCCTGCTTTGCTTAGCCTTCATCTTGCATGCATCTCTTCACCTCTTTTCTTCCTGCAGTAATCCGCTGACCTTTAATTCATCAATCTTTGCAGCTACAGAACTGGCAGCTACCAGCCTCTGTAAGAGCATAAGTCATTTCTTTTAGATAAATTGGTCCTTAGAAATACAGATATACACACACACAAACATGCACACATGTGCGTATATGTACATTCATAGATAAAATTTTTTAATTCCTCATTGGTTTTGTTTCTCTAGAGAACCCAAGTCTACAAAAGTGATCTCTTTCCAAAATTCAACTCATAAAAACTTTATTTAGCACAACAGTGCCATCTACAAACAGTCATGGGGGTAGGGCTTGGCAGCATTTTGTTCCTTTATCCCTAGGATGGCCATGAATCAGCAGTTGGCTTGACAGCAGCTGACAAAAAAGTATCTGACATTTCTAAATGTCAGATAATAGACTTAATAATACTTGTTAATAAGAATAATACTATGAGGGCTTTACTGGAATTACAAATAACTTGTTCTCTGAAGAAAAAAAAAATCTAGGGTTTAGTGTCTCATAGAAATTATGCTTTAAGAACATGTCAGCAAGTTCATTATTCACTGAATGAGTAATGACCCCTGATGTTTAAATGTGTTTCTAATGAAAAGAAGGTGTGATGTTTGAACAGTAAAGCAAATATCATGGTTCTTTAATCTTAACCATAAGCTTGGTTATTGTTGTTGTTGATTGCCTTCGAGTTGAGCACAACTCATAGCGACCCTGTGATCAAAAGGCCTGAAGCCCGTCTATACCGAGTTTGTAGAATTTCTGGAGGCATGTTGTTTAGGAAATGGATGCTCCTCCTGCTTCCAGATAATCACTGGTAGTGATTATCATTTAATTTCTTTTACTCTTCCAGTTCCTGTCTCTTCTGACTTCAGCCATTCTAGCCATCTAAATAAAAACCTGTTTAAACACCCAGGCCGGGAGATTTGATGGCCTAATGTTAAGGAGCTGTGGTGCCAAACCAAAGGCATGTGGTTGAATCTACTAACTTCCACAGAAGGATGGGCAGTCTCCTCCTCTGCAATTTACTGCCTCTGAAAACCCACTGGAGCGTCAGCTATGGGTCAGTTTCTACTCAGCTGTACATAACAACAACAAACGCCCAGGCAACCCATCAAGTCCACGGAGCAAGGAGAAGCCTGATTTTCTTTGCTGAACTTGCCTGGAGGCTGTACAAAAGCTGCCAATCTCAGGGCCTCAGGACAAGTTGCTTTATTGCTCTGTTGTTCTTATTTGCTTTCCAGTTGAAACAGATTCACAGCTGACCCTCCAGTGGGTTCTCAAAGGCTATAAGTCATATGAAAGGAGATTGCTCAATTTTCTCCCGCAAAGCTCGTGGATTCAAACCACTTGTCTTTGAGTTGTAACCACCTTACCCACTAGGCCACAAGAACCTGCAAAATGAGTGTCATTGTCTAGATGAAATTTTCTTTTTTGTAATAGTCTGTATCAGGTAACTTTTTTTTTTATGTTGTAGGAAATAATTTCTAGACTTTGGAAAAGAAAAGTATTTAACATAACAAATGTCAGGAATAGTCAAAATTGAACCCCCAATATAGCTGCTCTCCATCCTTAGCAGCCATTGCCCCCCACCTTTTCAGATAGTTTTGGTGGTAGTGTATTTAAAATAATACCAGACATGAATCTTGTTTCTCCATAAATATTTCAGAGTGTATCTCTAGCAGAAGAAAAAAAGACCTTTAAAAAAGACAAAACCACAGAATTGTTATTGCACTTCGCACCATTAATAATTTCTCAGTATCATCTAATATGCAGTTCAGTTTGAGTTTTTTCCAGTTGTCTCAGAAATTTCTTTGTATTTGCAGTTCACATCAGCAGACAAGGTCTCCAAGTTGCACTTGGTTTATAGGTTTTATCTCTGAATCTTTGTTCTACTCTTCTTCCCTTTTTAAGAAATTTAGTTGTTTATGATACTAGATAAATTGTTTGTAATGAGTACATTTTTTGAGGGAATTATTAAGGCTTTGAGAAGAGAGAAAATTCTGGGCATATTCATCCAGCCAAAGAAAGCATTGTTAAAATCCCGGTGCCAAAGTGCAGTTTTACCAAATATGCTTTGGTCTATTTTAGACCATGTTTTGCAGAACCAGCTTTAAAAGAGTTCAGGACATTTTCTTCCTAGGATAATAGCCTTGTGAGGTTACAGGGTAGGAATGAGGAGTAGGGCCTGTAGCCTTTGCAGCAGGAGGGGGATGCTGCTGATGGAGTGTGCTGGAGACAGACAGGGGCTGTGTGGGTGAACAGAGGCTTGGTGGTTTTGTATCTGTAGTGAGAAAAAAGTGCTCTCTCTTCAGGATCTCTTCTAGAATGCCAGGAATCCAGAAATTTGCATTGTCTTAAATAATGAAAAAAGTTACCAAGAGTGGACAACTGAATTTCTTTGATTGAGCACCTCATTGTCAGGAAGGCCCTAGACAACTCTGTTATTTATAAGCTTTGATTAAAAGTTCTAGGAAAATGATGTTTCCGTCCGTGGTAGATGGCTAGGATCAGCCCTCCAGGGTCTTAACTCCCAACTTTTTACTCTAGTGAACAAAACATCTTTACTAGGAAAGAAAGGATAATACTGGCTTACTTTTTTTTTTTTTTTAAAGACATGATTTACTTTTGCTTGGCAAGTTTTAGTACTATTTTGAAACACAAGGTATATTTTGACCAGAACAACAAATTAACTGGGTTTTAATTGAGTTGTGGGTTTTTTTTTAAATTTTATTATTTCTTGTGCGTGTACTGTCAAATCAGATCTGACTGGTACAAGAGGAAATTGTCCCTCCTTCCCCGGCAGAGCATCTGGTGGATTCGAACCGTGTACCTTTGGGATTGCAGTACAGCTTCTTGCCACTATGCCACCAGAGCTCCCCTGAGTCGTGTGTTTTTTTTGAACGATGAAGCATCTAGGTAACTTAGGAGCAATGTCTTTAATCTTAAGGAAAGACTGTCACCTGAATATCTTTGCCTTCTTGCTCAGCCTAAAAGCATGGCATCTTAAATGTAAGTAGTGGCTTAGAAACCTTGAATTGATGAATTCAAGTGCTGCACACAGTGATGAGATGCATCTCATTCTTGGGCTTTCAGTTATTGTTGTGCCAGACGTTTTCTAAAACTCACTGCCGCCAAGTCAGAGTTGACTCATAGCTGATGCTCTGGAGAATTTCTGAGGCTGTGTATCTATCTCATGGGAGGAGATTGCCCATCTTTCTCTGTGGAACTGCTGGTGAACTTGAACTGCCAGGGAGGCTTAGCTTTTGATAGTACGCAGCTCTGCCTATGGACTAAACCACCAGAAGCCCACATACCCTTACAGGTGGGATTAGTAAATGTGCAATATCTTGATCCAGATATTAGTGTGGGTTGAACAGCTTTCAGTGAGACAATAAATGCCAAGCATTTGGCATAGGATCTAGTACATAATGTTATGTGCTATCAAGTTGGAACTGACTCATAGCTGACTTTCCGGAGGGTTTCACAGGCAATAAATCACACAGGAGGAGATTGCTGCCCATCTTTCTCCTATACAGCAGCTATTGAATTTGGACTGCTTATCTTTGAGTTGGCAGTGTAACTCCTTAACCACTAGGTCACCAGAGCTCCCTTGGTATGTTGTTGTTGTTGTTGGGTGTGGTTGCGTTTGCATATAACTCCTAGTGACCCTAAGAAAAAACGATCTGAACCCTGTTCTGCCCTGCGCCATCCTCATACTTCCTGACACACAAGAGCCCATTGCAGCAGTCATGGTCAGTCCACCTGGTTGAGGGTCTTCCTCTCCTTCACCCACGCTCCACACTTCCCAGCGTCATGTCCTTCTCCAAGGAATAGCCCCTCCTAACAGCATGTCCAAAGTAAGAGACATGAAGGTTCGTCATCTTTGCCAAGGAGCGTTCTGGCTGCACATTCTCCAAGACATATCCATTTGGGTTTTTTTGGCAGTCTATAGGATATTCAGTACTTTTCCCCATCACTACAACTCAAAGGCATCAGTTCTTCTGTCATCTTTATTCACTGTCCAGCTCTCTGAAACATAGCAGGTGATAGAGAAGTCCAATACTTGTTTCAGGTGTACCTTAGTCTTCAAACTTACATCCTTGCTATCAAGTGTTTTGGAGAGGTCCCTGACAGCCAACTTGCCCAATACAATACATCTCCTGATTTCCTGACTGGTGGTACCAAAGGTTGTTGAGTCAAGCAAGATGAATTGACAGCATCAATCTTTTTTCCATATGTCATGATGTTGATTGTTGGTCCTGTGGCGTTTTGTTGTTATGTGCCATCAAGTTGTCTGCAACTCATAGCGACCCTCTGTACAACAGCCCTAACTCAACCCTGCTTTATCCTGTGCCAACCTGGACCCTTATTTTCTTGATGTTGAGATGTAATCCAAATAGAAAGCAGTATCATTCTTGATCTTCTGCAGCAAGCATTTCATAACCTCCTCACTTTCAGTAAGTGAAATTGTATCATCTGTATAATGCAGGTTGTTGGTGAGTCTCTCTCTGATCCTCATGTCACTACATTCCTCTTCATGAAGTACAGCCCCCAACTTTATTTGCTAAGCCTACAGATTAAATAACTCTGGAGAAAGGATATATCCCTGACACACACCCTTCATGATTTTAAATCATGCGGTGTTACTTTGGTCCATTTAGACAAAAACTTTTTGATCTGGGTATAGATATTTCATGAGCTCAATTAAATGTTTTGGGATTCCCAGTCTTCCTGTTAGTCATAATGTGTAATGAACCATGTAGTCAAATGCCTTTGCCTACAAACAGACATTTGTCTGCTATTCTCTGCTTTCAACCAGGATCCGTCTGACATCCACCATATCTCTGGTGCAATGGCTTCTTCCAAACTGCACTTGAACTTCTGGCAGCTCCCTGTCAATGTACTCTTCTAGGAGGTTTTTAATAATCTTCAGCAGTATTTTGCTTGCATATGTATGTTATTAATCATATTGTTTGATAATTTACACATTCTGTTGGGTCACTTTTCCTGGGAATAGGAACAAATATGGATCTCTTCCAGTCAGTCAGAAAGGCACACAGGCAGCTGTTTTCCAGATTTCCTGGCATAGGTTGGTGAGCATCCAGGGTGTGTCTGTTAGTTGAAACATGTCAATTGGTATTCAATCGATTCCTGGGGCCTTATTTTTTACCAGTGCCATCAATGTAACTTGGACTTCATCCTTGATTACCTTTGGCTCTTGTTTATATGGTACTTCCTGAATTTTTTTAGTGTCAGCAAATTCTTTTTGGCTCAGTGACTCTGTATTCCTCCATCTTCTTCCTTTTTTTATTTAGTTCTCTCCATCTTCTTTTGCTACTTCCTGGCTTATTTAAGATTTTGCCCATAGCATTTCTCAGTGTTGAAACTTGAGGCTTAAATTTGTTTTTATCCGCTTGAGAAATGCTAAGTGAGTTCTTCTCTTTTTTATTCTCCCATCCAACTCTGCATATTTCATTATAATATTTTGCTTTGTCTTTTTGAGCTGCCCTTTAAATGTTTTCCTTTGGCATCCTTTTTATTTTGCCTTCTCGAAGCTCTCCGGCAATTTTCATAGTCTTTTTGGAAATCCATTTTGATTTTTTCTTTCTCTCTGTCTTTGGAATGACTTTATGCTCTCTTCATGGATAGTATCTTTGATGTCTTCTTACAGTTCCTTTGGTCTTTAGTCATTGGTGTTCAGTGCCTTAAACCTGTTCTTGAGATGATTCTTAACATTCAGCTGAGATAGACTCGAAGTTGTATTTTGGTTCCTCCTCAGTCTTTCTAGAATTCAGGTAAATCTATGGTATTATGATCCATAATATAAACTTCTGTCAGTGAATCAGTTACTGTGGAGAAACTGTGCAGTAGGGAAAAACTGTCAGCTGGAGCTTTGGAACCACAGGACTGCACACCTTGCAATTCTTAGATGTAAAATTAGATGAGATATAGTTTGCCTTACAGTTACTGGAAGAAAAAGTTGACTAGATGTCTCTGGTGACTTCCCGGAAGTGTTGGCACATGGTGCTGGTCTTTGAGTCTTGCTGAGGATGCCAGTGGTCTCCAGTTGTGACCAAGGCCCATTACACATTGTAGCCCATGATCCTGGTGTGACCACAAGCTGGGTTAATGATAAAACAGCATCAGTGTTTTCATTTCTGATATGAGTGGGTAACTTATTTAAATAACATCTAATAAAAACCAGACATTTCCTCACTTGTATCTCACCAAAAGTAGCGCTAGTCTTCTCATTTTCTCTGAATTAAAAAAGTAAATACATTAATTTTATTTGTAAGCAAGAGTGGCAGGTTGGGAATCTTTTGCTCTATATCAAAGATGGCCATAAACTGGAAATATTCATGTATTACATGGCTTGAATGAAGAAGGGGGGTGTTAACTGCATCTTGCTTATATTTACGAATGTAGGCTCGATATTAAAAAAGATGGAAGAGTGATAAGATTTAAAAATTGGGGTGAGAGGGGAGCTCTGGTGGCCTAGTGGCAAGGAGCTGCAACTACAATCCCAGAGGCGAACGGTTCGAATCCACCAGATGCTCTGCCGGGTAAGGAGGGACAGTCTCCTCCTGTACTAGTCAGATCTGATTTGACGGTACACGCACACAAAAATAATAAAATAAAATAAAAAAATTTAAAAAAAAAATTGGGGTGAGGTGGGGAGCAGAGAGAATAGGAAAAGGTTTTATTTTCTCTAATGTGATGGTTGTATCCCTGTAGCCTTGGGAGCCCTCTGTGACATTGGCAGGAGGTGTGTGCTGTGTTCACTGTGGTCAGCTTGGGTTGGCAGTGTGTGTGTCTTCAGGTGACTCCTGCTCCTCCTCTTTCTCTAGGGTGTACCTGATGTTCGGCTGGCCTACATCCAGTTTGCCCTTTCCTTCTTAATTGCTGGCGATGACACCACCATTGTGCAAGTGCTGGAACTGAAAGGTATGTGTTCTCCTTTCCTCCTGAGGACATTCAAATCTAATGCGCATCATATATTCACCAGGTTGAAAAATCTGTAGCTTTTAGAAAAATCTGTAGTTTTTGCAGGTGCCATGGATGTTAGCGTGAAGGTTCAGTGTGGTGGAGTGCTAGTCAGTGTGGTTTTAAGATAGCTGCTCAGAAGCCAGAATGCTAGACCATCATCACCAACAGGGTAGACATCAGGCCACAGAGAGACAAACACTTGGTGTAGACAAGAGGCTCTATGGCTCAGAACATTCACAAACTCATATCCCTGTCTGCCTAACTTTTAGTCATCAAGTTTTAGAAGATAAAATATAACTTTGGTGTTTTTGCCCAATGTTACAGAATATCTGAAATAGGGTTTCAAAGAATTCCAGCTTGATTAATTACTGATTGCTGTCTCCCTAGAGTGAGTGGCCATAATGGTTTTTCTTAGTAATACTTGCATTTTATTAAGAATTTCAGTATGATTGTAAAAGCCACAGCAAGTGACTTTTTACAAACTTAAGGCTGTGCTTGATGCATGACAGACGTTCATTGTGAGCCAGTGTCACCAGATCATGCCGAGTCATGAAAGGTGAAGTGCGCCTGTGTCCTGACTGGAACTTAGGGGAACTGCTAGGAGAGGAACAGTATGAAGTCCATTGTACCTGAGGGACCAGAGAGGACCCTACTCTCCCTCCTGAAGGTGACCAGCAGGTGTTGATCACTGTGCACATCAGCAGTCCTGGCCTGTGCGACTGCTGTGTTGCTATAGTGGGAAGCTCCATAGTAGAAGGGCCGCTGTCTTTGCAGGTGCAATGGGCAGATTTTGTCCTGCTTTGTGCCGAGTCCTGTGGGTGATGATCACTGCTGCCCTGTAAGAGGGGCCAGTAGTCTCCCTAGCATTTCCTGAATCATCTGGCCATTTTATGAAGGACCAGCAGGGCAGAGATAAATGTCATGGTATATCTACAGAGGACATTTTGTCTGAAAGCATCAAAACTTAAAATGTTTGAGCAGCTTCTAAAGAGATAATTAAAGATATGAATAGAAATTTGGTTAGGTGGTATTTTTTTTTATGTAAGTTGAAAATTAAAATTTTACCACCAATCAATAGTTGATCAATACCATTTTAAACATATCTCTAAGCATATATAGGAATCAGTGGATAGTACAGATGGTTCTGTGTTTGGCTGCTAACTGAATAGTTGGCAAATTGAGTCTACCCAGCGATGTCTTGGAAGAGAGGCCTGGCAATCTGTTAAAAAAAAAAATCAGCCACTGAAAACTGTAGAGCGCAGTTGTCTGGTGGTCAAGATTTTCATGACTCAGACCTGATTCTACAGCAAAATACTGTTTCATCTTTAGGTCCTATTTACTGCACTTTAAAAGAAACGTGAATTTCTTCAATTTGAAAAACCAAAGACTTTAAGGAAAAAAAGGCATGGTTTGCTTTGTCTTTTAAATAGTAATAGTCTCTACTTTGTTTTCAAAATGCTTAACTTTTGTCTTGAATACTTTTAAACTTTTGCTTTCAGAATTCATTCCCTGCATTTTTAGCTCAGGCGTAAAGGAAGACAGGATTTCTACCATCAGTCTCTTGTTATCCACACTGAAAACAAAGGTACGTTTTCAGAACCATCATTTTTTTCTGTTTCTTTTTCCCTATGAGTGATGAGATAACCATCAGAGTCTTGCAGAACTCTGGAACTGTAATATCTCATGTTATACATCTTCTCCATTCATTGTGTTGGTTTGCAGTCTTCAAGTTGACTGGAAAACTGTTTCTTTGGCAGACATTTGTTTGTGGTGATGAGCAAACCCAGGGGCTAGAAGGTTAGGAAAGTTAAGAGCTACCAATGAGGCAAGACTGCTGTGCTTCCTACCAGGAGCTTTAGCTGTTGGTTAGCATCTCACAGAAAAAATTCAATATTTGTGAGCTATAAATGACAAAGAATATGCATTTTTCATAGTTTGCAAAATATTTTGGGTCAGGTTGCCTCTTAATGGTTATTATTGCTGATATTTCAGGATTCTCTGTGCACTAAGTGTTCTTTTCATTAGTGATATTGTGCTGATCATCTCCTTACTGTATTTGGCTTTTCCCCAAATGAAGGAGCCTGAGTGGTTGAGTGAGGTGCTAAGTAAATGGCTAGTAGTTCAAATCCACCAGCTACTCTGTGGGAGAAAGGTGGGCATTTTCCTCCTGTAAAGTTGACAGCCTTAGAAACCTGATGCAGGGTCTCTGAGAGTCAGAATTGACTGCAAGGCAGTGGTTCCCCAAGTTAGCTAGGACTGTTTTAGAAATTATTCTGTTTAATGCTGGTAAAGAAGCTTTGAAGCAAATGCTTTCCTGGGAGAAAGACAGCAGTTCTGAAAGTATGTGATAAATATCTTGAAAAGAGCACAGACCCTCAGGTACATTTGTTCCCTATCTGAGGAATGTGCATCAGAACCGCTGGGAATGTTCTAGAGGTGTACACACCAAAACCATACCTCCAGACATTCTCGGCGAGGAAGTTTACGGCACATTTCTACTCCTGAGACCTTGTGCCAAGTCCTTAGAGATACATATAAAGACTTTAGAAAAAGCGTGATTTTGTGTCTAAGCTGGAATTTGGAAAAACTTTGATAAGATGGAAGTATCAGAGAGCAATTACATATTATTTCAGTCAGGATGGAGCAATATTCTGTCTACCAAAATGATATTTTAAAGGAATTTTTAACAATGTAGAAAAAAAGTCACAATGCATAAGTAAAAACAGGCACAAAACCATGTTAAACCATATGTTAATCTCAATGGTCTTTGAAAAATGAGAAAAGAATATGTGAACTAGTTCCAGAATGGAAGAGACTAAAAGATCATGCAGCCCAATAGTACTAGGGGATAATAAGATGGTAGGGAGATTGGTGAGTGGTGTTTTTCTTTTTCATTTGTCAAATTTCCAGGTATTTGTAGAATTACTTTTATTTTTCAATACTGTTAAAATATAAAAACAAATCCTTTAATGTTTCAAGTGTCTGAAAACACATTTTATATACTTAAGACAGCCTTGAGGAATTCTAGGTACACAAAGGGATCCTAAACCTTGGAAAGATGATTTCAATTTCCAGAATTACAACATCTCCTTTCCCAGGGAGTAAAAATAAATAAAAATGCCATTGCTTGCTCCTGACCTCCTCCAAACTCCCTTCTGGCGTGCAGAAAAGTTTCTTTGTGCCCAGTTTAAGATGGAATAAGCCCAGCTGCTTCTTTCAATATAAGAAATTAAAACTCCATGTTCTCAAAAAACCCTAGTGCAAATCTCTTTCCACATGAAAGCAGTTTCTGCTTCTAGGAAGTATTATTAGACATTTTTGAAGCTGAGCTTTTTGAGACGTTTTCTTCCTCCACTTTTACCTCTCCTTGAAGTAGGCAAACCAACTCTCTCTCTTTTTTTTTTAAATTAATTTAGTTTGTTTATTTTTCATTTCAATGAACATCTACAGAGATTTTGGAATTCCATTAATTCATTGTTTCCCCCCCCCCAACTCTCTTTTTATGCTGCTGTTTCTTTCCTAAGACCTGCATCTTAAAGACAAGTCCTTTCCTGATGAGTGATCAGAGTTTGTGAACAAACAAACAAACAAAAGCTGTAATGGTGAATCACCTACAATTACCCTGATGAAGTACAAAATAAAAAAGCAGTTGGTACTAACATAGCTATGTAGAATTTTATAATGAAGACAAATAGTTAAAACTACTTAAAAAAATAATTGTATTGCGTTCATTTGTTTTATTGTGTTTAGGTAGTTCATAATAAAAATATCACAAAGACACAGAAGGTACGTTTCTTCACTGGACAGTTACTGAACCAGATAGCGACTCTCTATTCCTGGAAGGGGATCACGGATGTGGACACGGAGAGTGTCAAGGTATGGTTCTTGTTTTCAAATGCCCTCATTGTTGGTGAGTTCATCGACTCTAATAATAACACTGTTGTTTTGTTGTTGTTGTTGTTGTGACTCACTGTTGAGTTGGAACTGACCCATAGGTGACCATCCAGTGAGTTTTTGGAGGCAGTTAATCACAGGGGAGGTTATACCCATCTTTCTCTCATGGCACAGCTGGTAGGTTGAGCCGCTGGCCTTTGGGTTGGCCTTATCTGCCTTAAGAATCTTCCCATTTAATCTTTTGGCCTACAGTCATACTAATACTTATCCGATTTAAGAAGATTTAATTTGGTTTTCAATAATTTTTAACTTTTCTTTCTAATGAGCAAGAGTAAGAATTCTCTTTGGCTGAGTGACACTTGCTTAATGGACCCCCCTTTTTTAACTCTTTCTCTTCCTTCTGTAAAGATCGCAATCCAGGAACCCCTGTCATTCACAGGTCTACTCTGTAGTGCACAGGCTCACTCACTACCAGGCAGAATCAATGGGAGAGCTGTGATTTTTTTTTTTTTTTTTGCCTTTTTTCCCCTTCCAGTCCTCATATCCTTTTAGAGTTTTGAGTATTGTTTCTTTGTGTTAGAATCTCATGTACATACCTTGCTTCATGACATGTACATGTAACAGTAATTCCTGTGCCGGCAGTCCAGTTTTCCTGTTGGCTCAAGGACGATGTATTTTTTGCTTGAATTTTCCTGATTTTCATTTTTCCTAAGGTGCTTCTGAACATGGACTTGGCCAGAGTACTTAAGGCTCAGATTTCCTTACAGTAATTTAACTTTTCAAGGGTTTGTTTTTTTATTTCCTTTTATCTTCACGACTTGCCCTTGTTTTGAACATGTTTTTGAATGCTCTATTACCAGGAAGCCCCGGGGGCATAATAAACATCCTCTCAAATGTGCAGTTTTGTTTAAAAGAGCAAGAGAAATTAGTCATTCATAAGCTTATTTGAAAATACAGGTTTAAACTTGCCCATCTTTTTAAAGAACTTCTTTATTCTTAATCTGTGTGTTTCCAGTTTTGTTTGTTGTTTGTGTTCTGGAATGAAACCTAGCAATAATTTAAAATACTTTGTTAATGGTCATTAGGCATATGATGTCCACTCTCAGGCCTGTAACTGTTACTAAGGTTCATGCATTTTGAATTTCATTGAGCTTTTCACAACCCTCACAGGATTCTGCTGAAGATGCTGGGAAAACCATGGTGAGAGAGCTGGTCCATAACTTCCTGATGGACCTCTGCTGTTCGCTCAAGCATGGGATTAATTTTTATGATGCCTCCTTTGGCACCTATGGAAGGTAATTTGTGAAACTGTTGTGCAGAACATTCTAGTGAGAATCCTGTTGATGATTGAAATCGTAGTAAGTTAAAACTAGAATTTTGGACATTAGCTCTATTCAAGGGTGAAATATATCAGACCCAGAAAGTTTCTGTTAATTTTGTGTCCTAAGCACCACGGTCTCGGGGCACATGGTGGCGATGCCTCACCGGGGAGGCACTGCCTGTGTAATATATTCGCTCGAGAGTGTCTCCCTCGGATCTGAGAGCCAGTCTGTCACACTTGCTCTCCGAGGGGGGATAAGATCTGGGCTGGTATCCCAACTGTCCTGAGACTAGAACTGCTGTTATTTCAGTTTTGCAGATGAGAAGGGGCACTGAGAAGTTTGGTAATGTACAGTAATATAAACTGGTATGTGGCAGGAGCTCAGAGTGGAACTCGGGAAATCTGCCTTCAGCATCTCCAACACTGAAACAGTGTCCTCCACTTCAAAGATAGATTGTCAAGAATTAGAATTTTTAAATCTTGGTTTTGTGTTTTATTTCATATTTCTCAGGTTTTTTTATAGCATTTCATCAATAGGGAAATACTGACTTTGGAATATGTTTTTTTGAACTTTAGAGTCCTGTATGGACAATCAATGTCCATGTTAATTATTTGTTAAATAACCAAAATAGAGTACTGTTATTTCTCTTGTTCGTCAGCTTGCTTTTGCCTCATCTTGACAATAAAAATATCAGATATATTTTTTTAGCCATTATGAATGGCTTTATCTTATTTCTTACCCCCTTGGCTTCATGGCATTACACAGTAAGGCTAAGATACTGATTTTAATCCTAGTTTCAGCCAGTTAGGAAATGATTTCCTCAGAATGGGATAACATAGAAAATTTTTCTCCCACTGTGGGGGTGGACTCTTGGCATCTGAGATTACTGTAACTTAACCTCCTATATCTTTCCTTTTTCTTTTTTCTCTCTTTTTAAACTTTGCTTTGGAGATAGTGTAACTATTCTCATTAGTAAGAATGAGCTCTTTTTTTCTGGTAAAATGTAACAGTAGACTTTAATGGTCTAGTATAATACAGCATCATGTTTAAATTGCATACATTTTTCTCTCCTTTTTCTTTTATTTAAAAAAAAAACAAAACCCAAACTTTTTTCCCCCTTCATACTTAAGCCCATGTAATAAAGGATAATTTTGTGTGTGACTGTTTTGATTTAGCTTGTGGATGTGGGTTTATGTGGAATAAGCTCCGGTTTATATAAATTTTAGAAACCAAGAACATAAGACAAAAGACAAATTGTTGTGCTAAGAGGAGAGGAAAGGAGTTTTGTTTGTGGGAAGTTAATAACAAAGGAAGATGGGTTGTCTTCAGAAATGGGCCTTCATTTCACTCAGGCCTCCACTCGCGCTGGGCCTTGCCTGTCAGCACCTTTGAGGGCAGTCACCCCATGGGCACTCTTTTTTTTATTTTTTGCTTCAACTTCTTGCTGTGACTTACCACTGTTTTATTTGTTAATTCATTCTCTGATATTCCTTCCTGTACCCTAGAATTCTCTGTTGGGTTAGTCTGTTTTATTCACTGCTTTGGTCCCAGTGTCTGGGCTAGTGCTCACCACATAGTCGGTGCTTGTTGAAAGCAGAGCATTCTAGAGAAGAGCCATAACCCAAAAAGCAGACCTGTTGCCATCGAGTCAATTCTGACTGGTAGCCCTTCAGGACAGAGTAGAGTAGAACTGCCCTTGTAGGTTTCTTTTTTATAGATGCAGAGTATCCACATCTTTCTGCTGTGGAGCAGCTATTGTGTTTGAACTGCCAACATAACTTGACAGCTGGGTGCTTACTCTCTGTGCTTCTGGAGCTAATGTAGAGCAGGAATTGAGAAATGCTTCCTCTAAGAGGCTAGCTAGTCAGTATTTTATAAGGCTTTTGGGACGTTTGGTTTCTGTTGTGGTGACTCTATAGTGCTGTAGTGCATATATAGCCATAGATATAGACAAATGATTGTGGAAGTCCACCAGAGCTCAGATATGCCCTATTGCTGTGTTACAACTCTGTTTACTGAGGGTGAGCCAAGGTGCTACAGACAGTAGAGTTCTGAGTTCTTAGAGTAGCTTAACAACTCCCTGCTGGCCCTGCTCTGTTTTGGTACCTTTTTAGGATAACATTTAACACCCCTGCACAGCACAAGGTGTGGGTTTAGCTTTTGTTTGTGTTTTAGAATAATACCAAGTACCAATCCTCTTTTCTCTCTCCCTCTCTAAACAGAGGAGGAAACCTGACCCTCTTGCACTTCTTGTTGGGTCTGAAAACTGCAGCGGATGACGAGCTGGTGGCTGAACTTGTGGTGAACATTCTGAAAGTGTGCCCTGACTTACTGAACAAGTATTTCAAGGAAGTAACATTTTCCTTCCTCCCACGAGTGAAGTCAACTTGGTCAAATAATATCAGGCTTTTAAACAAGGTAAAGAACATGGATTTTTTTTAAATTTTATTAATTTTAATGAACACTTACAGAGATTTTGGATTTCCATTCATTCATTGTTGCACTTTTCCCCCTACCTAGCCCTCCGTCCAGTTTGCTCCTCTCTTTGAAAAGTAAAATTCTTTCATTGGTATACAATCCCCCTGCACACACACACACCCCTGCCTCGAGTACACTCCATCTGCCTGCCCCGAGTACACTCCACCCCCCTGCCCCGAGTACACTCCACTGTGCAATCTTAATTCTGGATTCTTGTGATAACCATAATACCCTATCATATATCGTTTTTAAACTGTTCTTTCCCTCATCTGTTTCAATGCAGCATACATAATTTATCCAGTTTTTCTCAGTCTTACACCAACCCTGATATCAGTCCCATTCTACAACAGTGGCACCATGCAGTATTTGTCCTTTTATAAGAGAGATATTTCACTCAGTATAATGTCCTCCAGGGTCACCCATTTTGAATAATACTGCATGAGTTCCTTGTTTTTCAATGCAGCGTAGTATTCCATTGTGTGAATATACCACAGCTTCTCTATCCATTTGTTTGTTGGTGGGCACTTGGGTTGTTTCCAGCTCCTTGCTATTGTGAACAAAACCGCGATAAACGTGGGTGTGCATATATCTGCTTGGGTGTCAGTTATGGTTTCTTTGGGGTATATTCCCAGTAGTGGAATTGCAGGGTCAAATGGTATCTCGTATTTGCAACTTTTTGAGAAAGCGCCACACCACTTTCCACAGTGGCTGCACCATTTTACACTCCCACCAACAGTGAATAAGGGTTCCAGTTTCTCCGCAACTTTGTCAGCATTTGTTGCTTGCTGTTCTGTTAAATTTTGCTATTCTGACTGGGGTGAGATGATATTTTAACATTTGTTTTTCATCAAGTTTGAAGACATGTGTTTTGAATTTGTTGAGCCAGTTTTATCTTCTTCATCCAGTCAGATTTTTCATGAGTGTGAATCTTTTGAGTCTTAGCTCAGTAGGCTAAAACTAGAGAAAAGTCTCGATAGTAGGAGAGTTTTTAAACATTGTTATTTCTGATACTTTGGAGAGCTCTGATGGCTTAGTGGTAAGAAGTTACGCTACCAGCCTAGAGGCAGGCAGTTCAAATCCAACAGCTGCTCTGAGGGAGAAAGATGGTCAGTCTCCTCTCATGTGATTTGCAGCCTCTGGAAACCTGCTAGAGGGTCAGCTGTGAGTCAGTTTCTACTTGTTGACACCTAACAACAATATTTCCAATACTTAGAATAACTTGAAATTAGCTGGGAAATGTTGTTCTGAGTACCAGTCCTGAGGGGGATTTCCTCCTGATCATAGAAACACTTCCTCATCTAAAAAGAGAAATGCATGCACAAATTCTTCAGTAGGAATGTGTGGCTTGCTTAAGTTTTCTTTCCCCTAAATGTACAGAAGCCTTGTGTTGTGATAAAGGCATTTGAAATTTACCTTTGGCACCAACTAATTATTTTTTCCGCCTTTCATAGATTTATGAAGCCCAGCCAGAGATTTCCCGGGCATTTCAGACCAGAGAGTTTATCCCTTTGCCTCGACTCCTCCAGATGGTGATGGTGACCACTGTACCCCTGGTCTGCAATAAAAGCATGTTCACTCAAGCACTAAATGTAAGAGCTTCTTTTCATTCCACTTCTAGAATTTTTCCGATAAACCCACTCATACTTTGTGGTTCTTTGGAGAACACTGACCGGGGTGTATTTGATCATGTTTGTCTGTGAGCCTCTGAGGGTCCTGGGACAAAGATGTTAGTCTGAAATAGCTTTATAAGTAACCCTGTCTACTCACCTAGGTAAACGCCTTAGAGCTGGAGTCACAGTCCTTCCAGAGAAGGACTGGCTTCATGTTGTCCCTGCGCCAGCACAGAGCCCAGGCCTGTGGATTCCTGTGAGGCTTTTGGCCTGCTTACCAGGACTGCTTGCCATGGAGACAGCACTGGCTCCTGGTCATTCCACTTATGCCAGGGTAGAATTGTGCTCCATGATGTTTTCATGGGCTGCTTTTAAAAAAATGATTGCTAGGCCTTTCTTTCCAGGAGTTTCTGAGTAGACTGAGATGTGCAGCCGTTTGCTTAGTAGCCGAGTGTGCTGATGGTTTGCAATTGTCCTAGACTTAGACATGTGAGGTGGGAAAGAGGCCCTCTTGACAGAGCAGTTAATGTATTTTCTAAGCAAGAAGTTGGCAGTTTGAGCCCTCCAGCTACCCTGCAAGAGAAAGATGAGGCAATCAACTTCTATAGAGGTCTGTAGCCTTGGCATTCCTGTGTGCAGTTCTTCTCTGTCCTGTACATTCCCTGTGAAGTGGAATCGAGGTGATAGAAGTGCATTTTGGGAGTCGAGGAGAATAAATCCAAGGAAAACAAGTGGATAAAGTACAGCCCAGTGCTGTTTATTAAAGTCTCGTTTGTTTAGGATTTCTGCTCGGTTAAGATTGAAACCAGCCCAGTAAATCCTTTCTCTCTGGTTTAAGTGAGCAGCATTAAGGCTGTTTATGGGAAATATTTCCTTTGAGGACCAGCTGTTTTTTAGGTATTTTTGAAAGATACATTCATGGAAAAAAATTGCTTGTTGGATTTCATTTATTTAAAAAGCTTCCCGAGTTTCCTTAGAAGCCACATTCTGAGGGTGTTTGTGTGTTTTGCTTCCGCTCCTTATGGGCTCAGGTGAGCTGTTGCCAACCTGGATCTTGTGCCATGCTGCTGACCTTACCCTAAACCCAGTTTGCCTGAATTCCTGTCAGATGGAGTCCACGTCTTCAGAGTGGTATAAAGCCTGCACTTCTCAGGGGCAGTTCCACTGCTGCCCTCCTGTCTTCTGCCTTTGCTGGCCTTCCCAGGCATGCTAGCTGGTCGGGTGCACATCAGTTGAATGGGGCGCAGCCATGGCCTGCCAACGGTGGGTTATCCAGGCAGGACCTGACTCCATTGGTGATGAGTGGAAGTCACTCGAAAGGGGTGTAGTATATACATTCATTTATATAGTGACATGAGATACTTGTTGATACATCCAGAATTTGTTTTGAGAGTGGACAGTGAGGTGAGGGTCAGAGAAAAGGCGTCCTCTCTGGTGTCAAGCAGAAAGGTTTTTTGCTCTGTTTGTTGTTGTTTTCCAAATCTTAATATGCACAGTTCATACCCAGCTAGTTAGCCTGTCTGTTTTGTGGTAGGCAGTCCACAAAATTAGTACTTTATCATGAGGGATTATGACTCTGCAGTGGTGTGATTGCAGCATGTGAATTAGCAGGTCTGGCACTGGGGCCTGCAGGTCTTTCTTTCTTAGTGACTCCCCACTGATGCCCCAGTGCTGCTGGGGCCCACATCTTTTCCCATGCTGGGTCATACCACAGGTCCTGAGAGCTTGCACAGTGTCTCTTTAAGAGTGAGAACTTTGAAGACCCTCCTGGTCATCATTCTGAATGTGAACAGGGAACCTGAGCTGTGGACACCCTGGGATTTGGGTCTGTATATCTTCTGAGCCTCGAGGTGATTTTTTTAAATACTAAAGCAGTCTGGTAATGTGCTTTCTTACCACCAGAATGTTAAATGCTTATAATAATGACTACTTAGGTTCTCGTGAGGGTTTTCAGTGCAGATAATTCATACCAGCCAAGTGGGTTTCAGAGAGGTTAACTCAACACAGACAGTTGACAAAAACAAAACCATGACCTGATTGTAATAATGAGCTCTGGTGTCCTACTGGCAAGAAGCTGAACTGCAATCCCAAAGGCATGGGGTTCAAAACCACCGGCTGCTCTGTAGGAGGAGGATAGACAGTCTCCGCCCTTTATGATTAACTGCCTCTGAAAATCCGCCAGCGGGTCAGCTAGTGCAGGTAATCCATACTAGTATCTAAGTGGTTTTCAGAGAGGTTTACTCAACACAGAGAGATGACAAAAACATGACCTGATTCTAATACCAACCTTCCTGGGGAATGTCAGGTCTGCCAGGCCCTCAGACAGCCTCCTCTCATCTGAAGGCAGAGACTAGCAGTCTCATCTGACCTGTCTAGGAAAAGAGTCTGAGGCCGATCACACTTAGGTTGTGTCTACCTATGTTCTTATAGACATTTGCACTTTTAACACTTCTTTTTTTTCTACTCAGTTGGACAGCAAATCAGTGAAGCACACAGCCTTGTCCCTTATTTCCTTCATTTTGAAGAGAGCATTAAAAAATATTGATTACTGTCTGAATAAAGAAGTGTGGCAAGAATCAGGTGTCTACACATCTGTGATGATGGAGGAATTCGTGCAGCTCTTCAGAGAAGCCCTGAGCAAGGTAGGTGTACAAACCAGGAAATGTGCCTTCCCAACAATTTTCTGGGGCTTTTCTTCAGATCTACAAATGAGGACATTAGGTTAAGAAATAGGGAGGGCAGAGGGTGGATGCTAATTATTGCTGAAGCTACAAGATTGGTAAGGCAAGTGGGTATTATCGCATGGGTGATAAAGATCAACTAATAAAACATACCACTTAGGATTACAGGCGGTGATGTCACACGTAAATGAGGATCCAAAAGCCCGGATTTAAAAAAAAAAGAAAAAGAAAAAAGTTGAAAACTTAAAAAAAAAACAAACAAACCATCAACCCATGAGCAAAATGCAGAGAGGAGGCAGTGACAGATCTTTTTTCTTTTGTAATTATGTTTTCCCTCTTCCTTTTTTTTTTTTAGTTTGAGAATTTGTCAATTTTTACTGTGGGTCAGCTATTGATAGGCTATTTCATCTCTTTGCTGACTTCAGGTGACTGAGGAAGAGCCACACCCTCAAAAAATACACACAAAAAAACCCCCAACAAACCACAAAGCCACCTTTGACCTAACTTTTTATACAATGTCTCGGTTCCCCATAACTTTGCACACAGCTTCTGTGTTCAGTTGAATTGTAACTGCTTTTTGTATTTGGAGAGAGTGTGACTATTGAACTTGAAACCTTTTAAAAAAAAAATGAAAATGTAGACGATGCCCTTGTTCTCATAGGAACAGTATGATTGTGTGTTCCTGGGCCCTCAGGCTGGGGTGCTCTTGGTGGCTCCCTCCCTCTAGCGACTGTCCCATACAAACCCCTTCCCTGCCCCCCCCCCAAGTGCTTTATGGGGCAAGAAGGAAGGCGGGAGTCTTCTGCAAACTGCCCAGCTGCTCTAGAATTTTTTCCTCCAGAGCAATTTTTGTGTACCATCAAGTTGATTTCGATTCTTTATGAAAGTATAGGACAGAGCAGAGCTACCCTGTAGGCTTTCTAAGGCTGTAAATCTTTACAGAAGCTGACTGTCACATCATTCTCCTTTGGAGCACATGGTGGATTTGAACTGCTGACCCTTTGGTTACAGCCAAGTGCTTACCGCTGTAATGCCAGGATAACTCAGAGGATCATAAAAATGTTTCTTTGTTCTCAGAATCTTTACTTCAGTGAACAAATGTTAAGGGATTTGTTTTGCATGTCAGAATTTTTCTTTTCATCAAATCTGTAAAGTTCTAGAAATATACAGATACAAAATAAGCTTCAAAAGAAACGGGCTTGTTTTCTCCCTGTTCCCCCACCCCTAGTGTGTGTGTGCACACACTCTCACTCTTCCCCCCCCTTTTCTATCATACAAATACAGATAAACAAACTTTCTTGTGCATACTTTCACATAACTGGTTCTCACATACATATGCAGACATTTTCGTACATATTCAAATTCTCTCATATATAGACTTTCTCACTCACAAAGATTTTCTGTCTCGTGTGCTTAGACCTGTACCCTTTTATTTTTTTTCTTCTTGTTAGCATGTGCTCAGTTTATTTGCTGCTTTTTTTTTCCTTTTTTTTTTTTTTTCTTGTTCAGGGTGACTGATTTTGTTTGTTTTCTCTTGTAGATTTTACCAGATCTGAACACTGTTGTGTGGGTCTGGCAATCACTTAGAAAACAAGAGGCCAACCCAGAAGATGAGAAGGGAAAGGAGAAGGGAGATGAGGCTTCAGCTACTGATGTGGCTCCCCAGAGTGGTGAGGGCCCCGTGGGACCATGTCTGTGCACAGGGGACGGGCAGCCCCACACGGCTCCTGTCCAGGGGCTTCTCAGAGCAGTTCTAGCTTGACGGCTTCTCTGACTATGGCAGCACCTTGTATATCCCACCACTCCCAACCCCCTCCTCCCAACTTTTTTATTGGCTTGGGAACATTTTTCCCTTGTTGTTGTTGTTGTTGTTATGTGCCGTTGAGTCGCCTGCGACTCATAGTGACCCTACGACTCATAGCGACCATATGTATTTTTCCCTTAGGACAAGAATTAGTATAGCATCATTAGGTTGAATTGTAATTTGTATTAGAAATGTACTTAAGCAGTATGTCTAAAGACTAGAACTTGGTGTATCATATGCTTGGGCCTTTCAGTGTGGGGCCCTTCTTTCAATCTACAGATAGAGGTGGGCCACATAGTCTCCCTCATTAGAAATACTGTGATAAGAATATTGATTCAGACCTTGTCACTAGGGGCGCTGTGCCTTATATGTCACATCACGTGATCCTACAACAGCCTTGTGAGAGCTGGAAAGGCTGCTGTCTTAACTGGATAGGTGAGGGCACTAAAACACAGTCATAGTCCAAGGTGCCTGCAGTGAGGTGGACATTTAAATCCAGGCAATTAGAACAAACTTCCTTGTGGATTTTTAAACTTAATCTAGTTGGATTTGTTTATAGTTTGAATCCATCCAGGGGTTATAATTTGCAAACTGCTTCGAAGCATTTTAGCATGCAGCTGACTGTTGTGGTCGTGTGTGTAGTTTGCTTGCTTGCCGATTGCAGACTTAAGAAAAAGAAGAGTATACTTGTTACTTACAGTCATTTTGTTTTGGTCCAGATGATGCGGAAACCATTCTCTTGAAAGCAGTTCTGCTCCAGGTCATATGCCTGTATCAGAAGGTGGTCCCCCACGTGGTCATGCAGTACAACTTCGACTTCAGCAAGCTCCTGAAAGGTGTGTCTCAAGAGTTGCAGACCCCACCTCATGCTGTGTCTGCTGGGGAAATTAAAGGATGTGCTGACAAAACAGCACAGGGTCCTAGCGCCAAGGACCGGGAAGACTGGTGGTTACTTTTGCTGACATGCCTGATCCACCGGCATGATTATTTTAAGTTGGATCAATATTTTAGAAATGGAGCTCCTGAGTGATAGAAACAGTTTAGCACTTGACTTACTTGTTCAGAGGTTGGAGGTTTGAACCCCTCTAGAAGGCTTTTGTCTGCCTCAGAACACAACTGATGATCTGCTTCTGAAAGGTCAAAGCCTTGAAAACTCATGGAACTCAGTTTTACTTGATACACATCTAGTCTTGTCAGAATCAACTCAACGACAGCTGACAACATGTTAAATACTAACTTGTCCTCCTCTAGTACTGTCAGGAGCTCACTTAGCGGTGAGTGGAGCGTGAGAAGCCTCTCTTACTTGTCCTGTTGTGGACAATTTAGAACTAAGATTATCCAAGTTAACTCTACAGCCTCTTTCCAAAGGAACAGAGGTACAGCTAGGAATGGAGTGCAAAGGAGAAGCCTTGAAGAAATTCCCTATTCCCTCCCCTCCCACCGGTGCCCCCACCCACTCTCTTGGCTACTCTAGGGGTAGTCTGGAGCTGAACGCAAGCCATCAAAGGAGCCATGGGCCTGGGGTCAGTGGGGTGGACACAGTAACACTGTCAACCATGGCTGCCAAAGACTGAGCCGTGTGGACTCTGTTTATTGATTTCTGCGGCATGTCTCCACACAGAGTTCGCACAGCCCCGTATTTAAACCCTCTGTGTACAGCATACCCCTTATAAGTTATTGTACCCTTGTCAAATGGCTGTTTATTACCATAACTCTGGTTCTGACTTAAAGAATATTTTTAGAATGCTTACAGAATTTTTTTAAATGATGCTCAAAATGTGAAATATATTTTGAAATTCTAACCACCACCACCACCACCACCACCACCCCCAAAAAAACACCTCAAACTAGCCCGCTTTTTGCAGAGGCGCTCTTACCCTGGCTGTTGTGAAGACCTTCGGGAGCTGTTGCTTTCCCGGAGGCAGCGCCTCTCTGCTGCTTCAAGCCTCTCCACAGGAGAAACAAAGATGGACCATCTCTTTCCACGTGCTTTACGTCTCTTTCCATGTGCTTCAGAAAATGAGCTGAAAGTTCAGCTCTGAGTTGATTCTGATTCAACAGCAATGAGGTTTTTTTGAGACCTCGTATTTTACTCAAGGCAGATAGTTTCAAGCCACATCTTGTCAGAGTGACACTGAACTTGTCTGGCCATGTTTCCCTCAGTGGTGAATTTTGTCTAATAAAAAATGATCTTGTGGTGAGCTCTGGTGGCCTAGTGGCAAGAAGCTATACTGCAATCCCAGAGGTGCGCAGTTCGAATCCACCAGAAAGAACTGCTTCAATATCTATTACTTCAGTAATAGATACTAATTCTAAAGGTGGTATTTTTGGGCATGTTCTTCCACACACTCAATTATAAGGTCTCTCTTTTTTTTTTTTTTTTTAAATTTTATTATTTTTGTATGTGTACCGTCAAATCTGATCTGACTGGTACAGGAGGAGATTGTCTCTCCTTCTCCAGCAGAGTATCTGGTGGATTCGAACTGTGCACCTCTTCCCTGTATTTTGGGTATTTTGTTATTAGAGGATTTGGGGAGACCTTAAGAGAGGGTTTTTGAATAGCAGAAGATTTAACACTTGACTGCTAACTAAAAAAGTTGGTAATTTGACACAAGAGACACCTTGGAGAAAAGGCCTTCTGACTTGCTTCTGAAAGGTCCTAGTGATTGAAAACCCTTTGGAGCAGATCCACTCTGTACACTTGGGGTCACTATAGTTCAAAATCGACTTGATGGCAGTTGCTTCAGTTTGATTTGGGGAGAAGCAGATGTGCTAGTTGACAGGCACATGGGCAGAGGAGGGAGCATGACTGTGTGCAAGTGAGATACAGGATGTGGGGGCATAAACCCCAGGTCTGCCCTGGACATGTAGCTGTTTTCTTACCTGCTCCTTTTGGCCAGTGGCACCTCTTGCCTGGACACCTGCCTGCAGATGACAATGTCTGCTTTCCCCTTTTCATCCTTAGGTGTCATGTCAGAACAGGGCCTTCTTGATCAGGTCCCACCCATCCTGCAGCACCACATCCTGAAGGTGGCCCTGGAGCTGCCCGCCAGCAAGTTCTCGTGGCTGAAGGCGCAGGTAAGTGTGAAGCAAAGATCTCCAGTCTTGTACTGGACTGTTCTACTGGGCTTACTGGCTTTTTGACGTGGAAAATTCTGAAATACATCAGACCCCTGGCATTGTTGTGAGCAAGAAGACGATCATGGTGTCTCTCTCTTTTTTTTCTTAACAACAACAAAAAATTGTAATGATTTATTCATCACAAATACATGTTTTTTAAAAATTAATACTTTAACAAAAGTTTACAGAAAATTTTGGATTTCCTTTCATTCACTTTTGTACATTTTCCTCTCTACTCCCAACCCCAGTTCACCTGGAGGACATGATGCCAAATGGAATATCTTAGTCACAAAAGGACAAATACTGCATAGTGCCCCTGATGTAAAATAGAACTGACATAAGGTTTGGAGGGAAACTGAGGAAGATGGGCTAAATTATGTATACTGCATTGAAACAGATAAAAGAGAGAACTGTTTAAAAGAGATATATGGTTAGGTATTTTTGTCATGACAGGAGTTCAGAAGGAAGGCTTCACAGTGGAGTGGACTTGGGGGGAGGGATTGTATAACAATGAAAGAATTTTTCTTTTACTTTTTAAAGAGGAGAGCATACTAGGGGGCAGGAGTGAAAAGTGCAGGGAGAAAAGTCCAACAATGAAAAAATGGAAATCAGTTAAGAAGATCAATTAAATGATTATTTTCCCTGGGGAAAAAAAACCCCAAGATTCTTTCATTGTTGAAAAATTTCCTCCCTCCATGACTCCTCTTTTAGAGAGACTGTTAGGGCACAGTCTTGATTTTAAACCAGGAGACCTGCACATCTATTTGCTTTTAAAGGTATAATGTGCTTAGGTGTGCCTGGAGTCCCTGCGGTGGTGCAAAGGGTTAACACACTGAAATGCAGACTGAAAGGCTAGAATCCAGTCAGAAGTGCCTAGGAAGAAAGGCCTAGTGTCACACTTCTGAAAAATTAGCCATTGACCATCCTGTTGTGCAGTTGAGCACAGTTCTCCTCTGACTGAGGTCGCGATGACCTTGAGCTGGAGTCGACTCCAGGGCAACTGATTAACTGCTTAGCATGACTTCCCTGATATACGTTACTATTAGGGGTAGGAAGTGTTCAAATTATTACTGGACTGCTTTCTGTTTTTCTTATTACTGAGATGCCTTTTTGGAAATAATATCTTTCTCCTTTGTCCTCTTCCTGAGACAACATAAAGGAGAGATGGAAATAGATGTCAACCGAGTAGAGGGTTGAATCTGGGGAAACAGTACAGATTGCTAGGATTTTTTTTTTCTTCTGCATTTTTAGTGTCTTCTTGAACTTTTTGGGAAATATAATGAAAGCTTGAGATGCAGCACATATGTCTTTCTCAACGAAAACAACAACAGATGTGTTTTTCACTAGGTCAGATTGTTTTTGGTTTTTTAGTGCCTTAGATCTTATGTAGAAATAATTGTATGGAAGTGCATGTTGGAATTTTTATGTATACCATTTCCAGACACTGTTTAAGAATGCTCTGGGATCTGCGTGCTGTTTCTCCAAAAGTCCTGCATTGTAGTTTATGTAACTTTCATTAAGTGGGCTGCCTGTGGGCCAACCATTACATGTGTTCCCTTATTTAGCACCAATTAAAGATAGTCATCAAGAGACTGAGCAGTGGTTGGGAAGCCTCTGCAAAGTCTCAGCTCTAAGTGGTGAAAGCAGATCACAGAGATGCTATGCCTAGGGAGTTGATAATTTAGTTAAAAGGTAAATCAGTGTTGTTGACATTGTGGAGAAATTGGAACCCTTATACATTGCTGGTAGGAATATAGAACTGTGAAGCTGCTGGAGAAAACTGTTTGGCAGTTTCTCAGAAAGTACATTGCCAAAAGAGCAAACAAGTCTGTTTTGAAAAAAGTGCTCCAGAATGCTCCTCAGAAGTGAGGCTGATGAGACTTCATTCCACATACTTTGGACATACTATCTGGAAGGGCAATCCCTGGCAAAAGACATCATGCTTGGCAAAGTCATGGGTAAGCGAAAAAAAAAAAAAGATTTACCTCGATGGTATGGATTGACACAGTGGAATGCTGCTCAGCCACAAAGACGAATGAGCTGATCTGTGCTACAGTTTGGATGTGATCTCATTTATACGAACCAAGCAAATATTTAGAGCTCAGAAGTGTTACTGATGCTTCCCAGAAGAGACAGGGAGGAGGAAATGGAGTTTTCTTTGTATGGCATTGAGTTTGCCATGATGGTGGTAAGAGTGTTTTAGGTGAGGCTATCAGTCATGATGGCACATCATGTGAAGAATGTTCTCAGTACCATTGAATTGTAAATGTGGAATTTGTTATCTTGGGTGTTGTGATGAGTATATTTCACCACAATAAAAAAAAAAAAAGGAAGCAGTAATCCATTGAAGCAGCTCCCAAGGAGTTGATGCCTACTTGTGGTGGTCCCATTCCCATGTGTACACAGTAGAATGTTGTGCCATAAGGTTTTCTGTGACTGATTGATTTTTCTAGAAGTAGATTGCCACACCTTTCTTCTAAGGTGCAGGTACTTCTGGATACATTCCAACAGCCATCTTTTTAAATAGCTGTTGTACACATCAACTGTTTGCTTCCATTAGGGACAGAGGCCTCTTAATGTGAAAGAACTGTTATTCCTGGGCCCCATTGTGGTGTTAACCAAAAAGTCAGGTTTTTTTTTGTTATTAGCTAGTCCCTCTGATTTTTAGCTACCTTAACTACAGACAACTGGTCTTGGAAATTAGCATCAGCTGTGGGACTAGGATAAGCTAAAGAGTGCTTCCCACACTGAATAGGAAGACTTGTGGTGGCAAGACCCTGGTGAAAGCAAGACCCTGCTGGTGAGAGACAGTGGCATTGCTGGGTACAGGTGGTGGCAAGGTGTGTCCTGGGGCTTCTTGCATTTGTGCAGGCCACAGGTAAAGGTTTACTGTTCTTGCTGGATGTTTGAAGAAGCATCTGAGATATAACTATTCTGAGGCAAACTTTGCTGGATGATTTTGATTCGACTGCTGAACTGAAACTGGAGTCTGGACTTACTGAGGAATTATGCCTTGGAACTGCTGGGCTAAAGCCTTGACATGTACTGTGAGATACCTTTTCCGTCCCCACTCACTTCCCTAATAACCCCCTTGTTTGTACCATAACTGTGAGTCAACAACGAATAAACAGACCTGCTGCTGGACCTCTAGCACCATGGGGCTGGGCTGTAGTCTCTTCATCTGCTTTCTGCTCTGGGGCGTGGAGGGGCTGTGCTTTTCTTACTCCTAGTCCTTTCAGATAGATCCTTGCTGCCCTGTGACCCTATGTCCCATTTGTTCCTCTTTAGACACCATTTTGGGAAATATATCTGCCAACTCCATCAGCTGGGCCAGGCTCACCTGACAGCTGTGCAGTGTTGTGGTCCTTCCTAATTAAAGGGACTAAAGGAACAGTGCAGTAAAACACTGATGGACTTTGGATCAGGGAACTGGAGCTCTGTGTACTTCTCTGAGACATGTGTTCCTGGCCCAGAGACCTATTTTTATGACAGTAAAGTACGTGTGAGTGAGTGATTGTGTTAGGAGTTGCATTCTGAGAAAATGGACTAAATGCATTCTAGATAGAGCCCTGGGACCTGTTCGGTCCCTGCCCACCATACAGGACAACATCTGCACAGAGATGCGAGTGTTAAAGTTTCAGTGGTGTGTGACTTTGAGCACGTTTGCTACCAGTCCAGTGCCTTGGTTTCCACATACGTAAAGTGGAAGCAACATTGTACTCACTTCACAGGTTGTGGAGAATAAATCAGCATATACTGCATTTACTTATTACTATATTATTCATACTACTATAACTTGGGGTTTAGGTGAGATGGGGAACTTTTGAGTCTCCTCATATATAAAACAGTAGCAGTCTTGCTAGTTATGAGTTAAAATGAGATGATGGAAAAGATCTAACACCCTGTACATTTGTGTCCTGCAAGTAATAATACACACACCCTTAATTTTCTAATGTTATGTTTAAACTTTAGGAAGGTCCAGATGCAGAAATTGTTGGAGGAGAAAGATCTGTGTTTTACTTAATGATGAAAATGTTTCTGACCAGCAGCCATTCACAGCTCAAGTTATCCACCAAACTTCTGATCATCAAGGTGAGTGTTTCCTACTAATTTTTCATTCACAAACATATTTTCCAGAGATTATCCTGATAATACTGCTTGGCAAATAAAATAGTTGCTAACATGAGGAATGTTTTTAGGAGTATTGTAAATTTGAAAGTAAATGTTAAGGCAGTTTTAATTTATGTCTTGAACTTTGCTGCATCCCTGAGAGCAGCATGGATCCTGGTTCGGCCACATGCTGGGTGGCTTTGGACAGATTACTTAACTTTTCTGAGCTTAGTTTTCTCATACTGAATGAGGATAATAAAGTCTTAGGGTTGCAGAGAAGATGAAATGGAATACGGTAATTGGTTGTTTCTGGTACTGTTCTGGTCAGTTAAATACTAGATTTCTGTCCTTCCCTGTGAGCTGTTTAGTGGATCTGCCTCTTCTCTCATCTCTGGCTTCTTGGTCTGTTTCACCTTATCTGTCATCTCTAGTGCAGATATCCAGTTAAAGTTAGTAGAAGAGAATGATAAGTCTATTTACTTTTCTTCCTTCTTATGCTTGATGCGGCTGGATTTGTGTCTGTATATCTGAATTACTGATGATCCCATATAGCCTGATTTCAGAAATACAGAGCCTGTGGGCCTGCTGGCATGGGGCCCTACAGCAGTACACCAAAGGCGAATCTTTGGCTTCCCGAATCTTATAACAGAAGGAAATCTAGTTCTTATTTCTGCTGTGCAGTAGACATTTTGGGATTGCCTCACAGACCATATTCGCTGTATTTAGGGTCCAGTTTAACCTTTCTTTGAAGTGTTACTAATCTTACCCTGAGTCAACAACGAATAAACAGACCTCTGCTGCTGGGCCTCTAGCACAATGGGGTTGGGCTATGGGCTGGCACAGGGCTCTTCACTAATCTGTTTGAACTTAAGTTCCATGTGTTGTCATTTCTTCTTATTAAGGAAAGAGTTCTAAATCAGAGGGCAAACTGGCAGGGTTTTGCCATAATGAAGAGAGATTAGGAATGTGCAGAGCTTTCCAGGTGTAGAGAATGGGAGAAGCTGGGCAGCCTGGAGGCCTGGGCTGCTTTGGATGGACATAAACAAGGATGAAAGCATGGTGAGATTTGACCGAGTGACCCAAGTAGACTATGGAAGTGAAACTTAAGCTCAAAGACAGAGAAGGGAAGTATCTGACACTCAGTCTTAACTCTTGTCAGTAGATGTGTTATCTGGGGGAACATAGTATTAGCCTCACTTTGTTAGCCCACTGGCTCCCAGAATGTGTCATTTCTTTGCCGTTAGTGCAGGTGTGAACTTAATCCCAGCCAGATTCTATACTCAAGTGGAAATCCCAAATCATCAAATGATTGAGGGCTTGGATACTGAGTGTCTGTTCGTATAAACCCAGAGGTGCCTTAGAAGAAAGGCCTGTTGATGTTCTTTTAGAAATGACCAGCTCATTGCTGTCAGCCATTGAAAGCCCAGTTCTTCTTGGACTTAAATGGAGTTGTGTGAGTTGAAATTGGCTCAATGGCAGCTATTTCTTTACTTCCCCTCCTTTTAAAAAAAAACAAAAACAAAATTGCAAATGGATGTGATTGACATAATCAGGTTTACATTTGGTGTACTCTTAGGGCTCCATGCTGGCAGGGCACCTTATACTCAGAGTTTCTGAAATGAGGCCACGTGGAATCATCAGTAATTTGGATAAACATAGGTACAGACTTAAGTTCAGTCTCTTAACAAATTCTCTTGTGTTAGAAACAGGGTGCCACCCAGAGATTGTGTGATGTGATTGTTTCACATTATGGTAGAGAATGTCATACATGCTGAGAGAGAAAAGAGCTGTGAGGTGTTGGTCGTGCCTGGTTTCCCGAGTCTGTGAACACCGAGGTAGAAAGTCACACTGGTACTCAGCAGCAGAATGTTTTCCCCTTCATGTTACTTTGTAAGTTAGGACTAAGCAACAGCAGCAGCAGCAGGATTATGGTTTTTATTGAGCACAGAATGGTGGTCTTTATGCTTTTTCTCAGTTACCTTGAAAAGTGGGACTTACATTATCAGAGAATAGTATTTAGAGTAAAACTTGATTTTTCTTAAGATTTTCACCCATTTTGCCCTGCATGTGTCTGTGGTGCTGGAGCGTAGTTAAGCCTAGTCTGCGCCCACCAGACGGGCTGCTTTGGACTCTCCCACTGAACCTGTTTCCCGACAGATTCTGCGAGACACCGGGGTGTTTGAGCACACCTGGCACGAGCTGGAGCTGTGGCTGGAGCACCTTGAAGACACCGCGGAGGAGAAGAAAGAAACTGTGATTCAGTTTTTGGAGAGCGTAAGCCCTGTTTCTCATCTTTTCAGTGTCAAAGGAGGGGAAGGTGCCCCTCAGTTATCCTGCGTTTCAGTTTTGATGCATCAGTGCCAAAGGATTTTCTTACTAATCACTTAATATAACTCGCTCACAGCTGACCTTTCAACAGGTTTCTGAAACAATAAATCTCACAAGAGGAGATTGTTCATCTTTCTCCCTTGAAGCTGCGGGTGGCCACTGACTTCCTAACTTAATTCTTAGAATTCCTACTGAGATTTCAGTATCTACTTAGTTTTAGAATCTGTAAAATGGGAACAATTTACTGTATGATAACTTTCCTTTGGGATTTTGAGTTTTTACACAGGAAATAATGGTTTTGGAAATATTAAAAAAAATCTTGGTGGTGCAGTGATTAAGCTCTTGGCTGCTAACTGAAAGGTCATCAGTTCAAACCCACCAGCTGTTCTTCTGAATGAAGACTGGCAATCTGTTTCCATAAAGATTACAGCCCAGGAAACCCTGTGGGGTAGTTCTGCTCTGTCCCGTGGTGGCCTAGTCTATAAGGAGGTTCACTGCTAACCCAAAGGTCATGCGACTCTGGTGGTTCAAATCCTTCAGCAGCTGCAGGGGAGAAAGATAAGCAGTTTCCTTAGTATGATTTACAGCCTCAGAAACACCCCAGTGTAGAGTCAGCTCTGTTGGTTCTGATTCAGTGGCAGTGAGTTTGAGTGAACTGGTTTGACAGTTCTTTTTTAAAATCCTGCGAGATAAAGTGACAAAAGAAAGCTTTGAAGAAAAATTATTCTTACTAAGTACTGTTAACATTAGCATATCTATTTATTTTGACCTCTGGCATGTTTGGCTCTTTTCATTTTGCTTGTGACCATCTACTTGTTTTGCATTTGGCTTTTTGATAAGCAGGTTTTATTGACACTGGTGGCGAATCCATATCCATACACAGACAAAGCATCGGATTTTGTCCAAGAAGCCTACACCCTGCAGACCACCATGACAAAGCAAGACGCTGATGATGTCAGCATTCCTGTCTCCCACATTGATGGTACGCCCTGCTGCCTAGGGCTTATGTTGCTTGGGGTCCTAAAGGTTGAGCTGGAGCAGCAGCTGAGAAACAGAGAGGAGAATTGCATCACTGCTTTTGCACAGAGCAGGCTTTAAAGGTGCTGCTTTTTCATGTCCGTGACACCAGCTATTCTGGAGATGAAGACTGGCATGTTTGTTAATAGGGTAGAAAACCTGGACATCCTTATCCGCTGGATTCTTTTTATGTGTTCAATGTTTATGGTGTGCTGGACACTGTACTGAGTTCTTCACAATCCTGACGCATATAAACCCCCTCAACACCCTTAGACCAGCCATTGCTCGTGAGCTGATTGGGGTGATGGCACATGTGTCCAAGTGGAATTGCTCCACTGGGCTTTCAGTGGCTGTGATCCTAATGGAAGTAGATCACTAGCTGTTTCTCTGTGGTGTCATTTGAGGGGTTCAGACTGCCAAGTTTTTGGTTAGTAGCTGACAAACCCTTTATGCCGCCTAGAGAATTTCACAACCCAGCGAGGAGGAAGAGTTATCCTTGGTTTATACATAAGGCAGCTGAGGCACGAAGACACTGATTTGCCTAGCCCAGCCCAGCCCAGCCCGTCAGCAGTGAAGTCAGGGTATTTTGGCACGTTTTCCCAAGTGTCTGGGACCTCTCTGTATTACTTGAGACTTTGTGGTGTTAGTAATTCCCCTTCTCCTTGTTAATCATAGACCTGCCTCGTTACATTCTTTGTTCTGTTAGATGTGGGTGCTTCTGGATCAAAAACCTGCTGAAGAACTAGCATTTTATTGGAAATTTACTTATCTTTCCAAAGGCAATGTCTTATCTGTGTAGGATCAGAATTTGACATTGATTTGAACAAAATAAAGCTTTTCACTTTGTCTTTGCTTGCAGACATTCTCTTGCTTATCCCATGAGATTCTTTGCAGTGGGATCCTTTGCTGGCTTTTTCCTCAGTTTCGTATCTACCCTTTTTGTTTCAGATGTCCTGGACATGGTGGACGTCTTGGTGGAGGGCAGTGAAGGTTTGGACGAGGAAATCGGGTTCTCACTGACTGAGGACATGATCCTTCTCACATTCCCATTCAGTGCTGTGATCCCTGCAGCGCTGGAAGCCAGAAATAAGTTGCTCCTTGGTACAGAAAAGGAAGCAGGTACCCAGTTATACATAGGATGCTATTAGGATGTTTTGGGCACATCAGGTTGGCTGACTGTGTTAAATAGGCAGTGAGGAGGCTGATGGGAAATCGGTTATGAGTGATGAATCTGAAATCAGGTCTCTGAATAGCTGCATGAATACTAGCTAGAACACCAATGTATATGTTTATTTTTAATATGTTGATGCTAAGAGCATGAATTCTTCATATTTGCTAGGTATCCAAGAAATTAAACAAGTGCAAGATTTGCTATAATAATAATAACAACAAGAATAAGGCAGTCACATTTCACTGATTTGATAGCCTTGTTATATACAGTACAAATCCGTTACTTTCTTGAGTAGTTGTCCACCAGGAGGTAGTTCAGTGATCCAGTAAGCTGCCATCTGTAGCTGTGCCCACTCAGCATATTGCTTCCAGAATCAGTGCAAAATGAGACTGGACAATGAGCATGAGGAACTGTGACCAGGCCTGGAAATGACTAAGTTTGGTTGCCTTGTCCCACAATTGGCTAGCATGCCAAAGAGGAAAATTAGGAGCACCTAGACTCTACCCTGGCAGCTTTTATTGCACCTTTTCTGTGCCAACCTCCACTTCTGGGCTGCTAGATGTGAAATCTGTTTTATTTTTTTAAAAAATTAGAGACCTAAATAAGTCTGTTGGTATACGGGATTCACAGCCAACCTCCGTCTGTCAGTGGAGGCTTGCGTGTTGCTGTGATGCTGAGTAGATTTCAATATTTTCAGACTAAGATCAGGAAGAAAGACTAGTGATCAGCTTCTGAAAATCAGTCATTAAAAACCCCATATTGATTACAGTGGTTCCATCTACAGTATATCATGGGAATGGCACATGGTAAAGTTTTTTCAATTGCACAGGGTTACCATGATATGTCAGGTTGACAAGACTACAGCTAATAACAACCATGTATAAGCTCCAATGGTATAACATCTATCTTCCAGTTTAGTCATGAAATTGATAAGACACTCTGGCTCTTGAATATTTGTGGCATAAGGGGATTATTGATGACTCACAGAAAGTGTCCTGGCAAACACTCCTGTCTCATCCTTGACAGGAGCCAGCATCGTGACATACCTGATAGCAGTGCTGACGGACCTCCTCCACACTCAGAGAGACCCTCTGGCTCTGTGCCTTCTGCTCCAGTCCTATGACAAGTTAACACCTTCAGGTTCACCCCGGTGCAAGCAGCTCTGCAGATTTCACAAATACTACAGCCTCTGGATCCCAGAGCAAGCCCGCGAGGCCTTGGTGAGTGTGGCCCCAGCTAGAAAATGTCTTCACTTTTTCCAGGGGCCTGCAGTAGGCTACACATAGAGTAGCTTTACAGCTGTATAGCTTGCAGGATGAAGTTCCTTCACCAATTACTCCTGTATAAAGGAGTAAGCGCAATCCTATTACTTTGCTCGGTTGATATGGCTGAAGCACAAAAGACTCAGTGATGCAGCAAAATGAAAACTTCCCCTAGCTCTGTAATGACATTTGTTTAATCACTATTGATGCTTTTGGCTGAGGCTGCCTTTTCTTCTTTGCCTATTGCATTATCTGTGCACACTTGGCTCATAGCTCTCTTCTGGGGATTTTAGCATGTCCCCAGATATGCCAGTGCTCAGCCTTTAAACTTGATCTTGGAAGCTCCCAGTAAGTTTCATTCTGTTAAAACTGGAAAAGAGGTATTAAAACTTAAAAAGAGGTACTATTCTGTTTGGTGATGGCTACATTCCAGAAACCAAAGACTACAGTTGTGGCTCTGACACAAACTATAAATTCTGGGAGGGTTAATAAGTCAGCTTTACAGTGGCATTTTTGTATTTTTTTCACTCAGTTTTAGTTGTTCTCCAGGAAAATGCTGGTTATTTTGAACCTTTTTGTTGTGTGGTATTTGTGGCCACAGCTTATATTGATGGCACATTTGTTCTGTTAGGTTTTATATTGAGTATTTTGTGTGTGTTTTAAGACATTTAATCCCCACAACTCTGAGAAGTAGATCAAGAGTTAGGGCCCTCGTTGTGCAGATGAGGCAGAGTGCTTTTCCACCAGCAGTCAGTGGTGGGGTCAGGCCCAGGAGACTGTGCCCTGTACAGTGTTGTTACCTTCCTTCCCGAGATTGATGGGCAGATTGGTTATAGGCAGAAGTTCAGAGTGATACCTGTGTGAGGTATGGCAGTGGCTCTTACTCTGGGTACACTGTAGGCCCTGGAGATTGTCAAGCTCCATCCCCACAGTATCTGCTTCAGAAGGCCTACAGTGAGCCTGAGTAAGTTCTCAGGTGCTGTTGCTCCTGCTTATGAGACCACACTGAACTTGAGAGCCCATCTAACCTTGAGTTCCTTTTAGCCTCTGGAAGTTGAGTGTTAATGTGTAAGTCACATGGAACAGATAAAGAAGGCAGTGTCAGACTCATGTTAGAAGAAACCAACAACTTAAATATGAAATAATTCCTCCAGAGTTTATTCCCACCTTTATCTTCCTGTCCTTTGATGACATTATGACTGAGATTCTTGGGGGCCCCTAGAAGGTGTGTCTTGAGGAATGGCTCCTTGATGGTGTGTTAACTTCCTGAAGTTTCCAGTGCTCATGACTGTTTTGTGTGGGTGGTTTTTTTTTTCCATGACTGTTATTAAAGTCATGTTTCCATCTCACACTGCTCCTACGTGCAGTATAGATTCTCCAGAAGTTTTAGTTTAGTCTTAGTTTCCTAGTACTGTAACACAAATACCACAAATGGTGGCTTTGAAGAAAATGTAATTTTTTGCAACTTGGGAATCCAGATCAGGTTCTTGCCCCTTTTGACTTCCTCCTTGTTGGTCACTTTATCTTTGATGGTCCTGGTGGCATATAATTTGTCTTTTCCTCTGTGCATCTCTTCCTCTACTTTGTTATAATTCAGAAATGGTTGCATTTGGAATCCACCTGGTAGAACAGGCCATAGGAAGTTGTGTTGCTAACCTCAAGTCTGCAGCTCTCTAGCAGCTCGAATCCACCCATAGCTTCTTGGAAGAAAGATGGACGATTTCTTCCCTTATGGTTCATAGCCTTGGGAACCCAGTCGAGGGTTAGCTAAGTCAGTTCTGATTCTATGGCAGGGACTTTTATAGAGTTCTATGTAGGTATAACAAAACTTTATTTCCAAATAAGATTTCATCCACAGGTATAAAGGTTATTCCAACGCTTGTTGTAGGGGAGAAATTAAGAATACTTAATCCGTAACATCTCTCCATTTCATTCACTCACATTCTATCACCATTAGCACATTTTAGGACATTTTGTGTGACTGATAATAATGGGACTTATTTAAACTTAAATTAACTGCTAAATAGCCATGCCTTTTTTACCATTAGCAGTTACTGTGAAACGTTCCTTGGTTCTAAACAACACAGTGCTATTTGACCAGACTATGTACCTCTCGTCTGTGGTGACTTGTTTTTCTCTTGGCTGGGTATCTCCTTCAGCCTCTTCAGACCTCAAGCAGCATCGCGCCCCGTGCTCCTTCCTCAAATGCCTCCTTTGCTGTCCTGCTGAAGACGGCCTACGAAAGCAAGGACAAACTCCTGGACGAGGGTGTTCAGGCACAGCTGCACGCAGCCATCCCGCACCTCCCATTTCACCAGGTCCTGCGTGCAGTGAAGCACGTGCTGTTGTACCTCAGGACCACTGTGGAGAATTTCGACCAGGTCAGTGCTGCTGTACCCATCCTTTTAGCATTGCTGCGCTCCCAAATCTGTTCCTCCAGAGAAATTGGTCTTTTCAGAGGACGCAAACTGGTGAGGTTTACAGAGTTCTGGAGCTTGGAGGAAGGGACTCTGATGGTGCAGTGTTTAAGCACTGCCACTAACCAAGGAGCTCAGTGGTTCGAATCCACCTGCAGCTGTGCTAGAGAAGGCTGTGGTGACAGTCTGCTTCCATGAAGATTAGTATGGAGCAGTTAGAGTTGACTTGCTGGCAGTGAGTTGGGAGCTAAGAGGGGCTCCTATGATGTTGTCCCAGTCCACATAAAAGGTTGTGAGCTGACACAGCCCAAGCGTGGGACTCAGGAGCCTGATCTCACTCAGTGAGCCTTCCTCATTCGAGCTGACTCACCTCCTGGTAGCAAGTCCCTAGTAATGGAACCCTGAGTAGCTTCAGAAAGGGAGTCAGATGCCGCCTCGCTTTGTGATTGGGGCAGCTTCTAGACAGGGATATGGGCGAAGAGACAAATTCCCATTACTGTCAAGTTAATTGTGATTCATATTTACCCACTTGTTTCAGAGTAAAGCTGCACTCGGTAGAGTTTTCAGTGACTGGTTTTTGGAAGTAGATTACCAGCCTTTTCTTGCAAGACGAATTTGAGTTGATTTAAAACTTTAACCTTTTGGTATGCACCCAGGCATGTTAACTCTTTGTACCACACAATAACTCCTATGAGAACAAGACCCCTATTACATTGCGCTTGCAGCTTCCATTTTCTTTTTATATTCATTCAGTTCATTGTTGAGCTTCCTGTTACTACTGTGGTTCAGATACTGAATTTAGGCTTTGAAATGGGCTCTGTTCCTTTGTTTTTGTTGAAATTGACTTTTGCATTTTACCAATAATTTGGTGGAAAAGTCCATTTTTTGAGCAGTGATTTTTGAGGTTATTGGCTTTTTACAATAATTTGTGTAAAGTAATTGCTGTTTTCACTGCTGCCTCCCTCCATTATTCTTGTGATAGGTTGATGTTAGCAACACCTTTGGTGGGAAAAGGACTTAGCACTTTTGGTTTGAGTGACTCTTGGCCCTTGCCCTGATCTAAAGGGTTGTGCTCTTGTCTTCACAGCTGGGCAGAAGTGTGGGGCCGCCTCTTCTCCAGCTCTTCATGGATCTGCTCCAGCGTCTACTTGTCCACTGTGAGCAACTGGATGCCCAGAACCAGCAGAGATGTGAGGCTGCTCAGGCCGAGACTGACCTCTTTTTGGACATGGAATCTTTGGCCTCCTTGGAGCTGGCCAATGACAAGGTACCACAACCCTCTTCTTAGGGTGTCCTGTGAGCCTTTTCTAGAAAGTCGCAGATACTGACTTTCTTTGTCTATAGAAATGTAAGAAAGTGAAGAAAAATATAGAGAGGGTATTAGAATTGTCCACGATACCCTCCACTCAGAAGTCAGCATGGTGTAAGTTGGATATTGTAAAAGGAGCAGTTACAGCAGAAAGTTAGCCAAATCTGGCTTCTACCTGCTTCATAAAGGAGAACTGTCCCCATTTATAATATCAATTGTTGTTACTATGTGCTGTCGAGTTGCCTGTGACTCTTAGCAACCCTATGTATAACAGCCCTAAACTCTGCTCTATCTCTTGCCAGTCTTACTGTTTTCAACACACGTACCCCCATTACCCCAGTCACTGAATCAATCATCTCATTGAGGGTCTTCCTTTTCTGTGCTATTCCTTCACCCTCACAAGCATGATGTCCCTCCATGCAGCATGTCAAAAGTATGTCAGACGAAGCTTTAGAATCCTTGTCTCTAAGGAGCAGACAGGTTTCACCCTCTCCAGGATGAACCTGTTTGTTCTCCTAGCCATCAGTGGTATATTCAATACTCTTCTCCAGCACCACAGCTCAAAGGCATCAGTTTTCCTTCCATCATCCCTAGTCATTGTTCAGCTCTCTTATGCATGGCAAGTAACTGAAGAAGACCATGACCTTTATCAGGCATACTTTAGTCTCCAAACTGGCATCATTGCTTTTCAATACTTTGAAGAGGTCTCTGACAGCAGACTTTCCTAATGCTAGTCGTCTTTTCATTTCCTGGATGCTGGTGCCAAGAGTGTTGATTGTGGAGTGAAGCAATACCCATATAATATCCATGGTACCACACAATTAACTACATAGTCAGACATGCCACCTCACATGCTCCTGCACCTATTTTTACCAGTCATTGGGTCCAGGGTTCATTGCAACTTGACTCACAGTTGTGGGGTTTATTAGGGAAGTAGGTGGATGAGTGGAGGAGGCAAAGAATATCACACAATGCCAAGTTCAGGCTTAGGCTAGCAGTCCCAGACCAGATTAAGAGGCACAATTTCTCATTTAGTAGAAGTCCAGGTTCATTTCAGTAGCGCAAATGCACCTCTGGTTTCCTCAGTCATCCAGTAACTTTATCTCAGAGCAGTTACAAGTCAGCTTTTCCATTAGTCGTCCAGCAAGTAAAACCTTTACTATGTCCCCATCTGCGAATTCCTCAGGTTACACCTTGTCATAATCTCTTCACCCCAGTACCACAATCTCTTTACCATCTCTCCACCACCATTTCTCATGGTTTCTTCAGTCTCTCCACCACTGTCCCTCAGAGTGTGGAAAGTGTTCTTATATTGGTCCCATAGCAGTTGGTATTTTGCAAGCTAACACAATGGCTAGAAAAGCCAATTTTCAAGGCTTCTGACCTTACAAGTATTCATCTTTCTGTGTGTACCTGCCTCACCTGTCAGTGTTCCCTGAGGTAGTGGAGGAAGAGTGGGTATGTGTGTGCTTTCTCTGCATTTTTATAGCCCATGTTGGAAAGTCGGTGTCTTTTCACAAAGTCACTGCACCAGTAAACTCTATTCCATGGAGAAGAATATGCCCTTTCTTTTCTATCTTTTGTCTGGTAAATCCAGCTATTTGGAGCCAGGATATATATTTCTAAAACAGTTTTCAGTCTGACCTGTGTTAACTGAGTCCAGGAAGTGAACCTTTCTTTTTTCATAATCTGAATAAAGCACATGGCTTTCTTCCTCCATACCACAGAAGGATTCTCTTGAGGGGAATTTGTTGTTAGCTACCATCAAGTTGACTGGGGATGTGTTAATGACCACTGGTGTGCTTATCTCATGTGGCCACATTGTTATTTGAGAGCTTGACTACCTAGAGTTGTGATAATTTTCAGAAGACGGCTAAGTCTTTCTTCCTAGACTGCCTTAGTCTGGAAGCTCCCCTGCTGGTATTTGAAAAACAATGACATAATGCCCTGTATCACAGCAATATATGAGCCACTGCAGTCCAAAAACCTATGGACAGGTGGTAGTAGCTTGTTGCCATAAGGCCAGCTATGTCATTATAGGACCAAACAATCCTGTTGTGTGTGCTTTTGTTTTGGTTTTGGGATTTTTTTCCTCCCTCAGACTTGGAGCACTTAATTGGACTTCTCTTAAAGAATAAACAAGGTTAGTTGCATCCACTGTGGAAGGCGGTATGG